CCCACCCCCCCTACCTTTACTCTCCCATCACCGATACTAATCACGAATAAAATCAGGCCGAAGCCGAAGAAGCCGTCCTAAAATACAACCGCAAATCCCCCTCTTCCATGCTCACCTGCGCCCTTCGCCCGTCCGGCATCTACGGCGAAAAGGACGGGCAGCTGATCATCAAAATGCTCAGCCACGGCGTCAACGCCTCCCCCACCGTCCTGAAAATGCAGCTCGGCGAAAACAACAACCTCTTCGACTTCACCTACGTCGGGAACGTCGCATACTCGCACCTCCTCGCCGCATTCCGCCTCCTAGCCATCCACAAGCGCGTCGAATCCGGACAAGGCGACCTCCTCGACTACGAGCGCGTCGACGGCGAGGCCTTCCTCATCACAAACGACCAGCCCGTCTACTTCTGGGACTTCACGCACTACGCCTGGGCGCTTGCGGATAAGGTCGTCGAGCCGCATCAGGTCTGGGAACTGCCGGAGTGGCTGCTCGGTCCGATTGGGGGTCTTGCGGAGGCGGTGCTTGGGCTTGTAGGTAAGACGCCGAATCTTACGAGGCGTGCGGTGCGCTACTCGTGTATGACGAGGTACTACTCTTGCGATAAGGCTAAGGAGCGCCTTGGGTACAGCCCTATTGTTCCTCTTGATGAGGGTCTTGCTCGGGCTGTTGGGTACTTCCTTGAGCGCTGGCGTTTGGAGGGCGAGAAGAAGGGTCTGTGATTGGGGTCTAGATGTGATTTCCTTTTGATTTTTGTTTGTAATATATCCATGTCCGAGGCTACGTTATCTAACACTGTGAGCGAGCCTTACGTACATACTTCTAATCATGCTTCAGAAGAGCATTCATTATCCAACATTCGCTGGTGATGCCCTTGTTTTCTTCTCATTTCAAAGTAAAATCAAGTCATCTCACTAGGCGTGTTTTTCATCGAGCGGTCGTTTTCAGCTCAGAGGGACCCGGTGAGACTAACGTAGAATTTGAGCTTGGTTGTGATTCAGGAGAAATAAGAAAATTCTAATTCTATGATATCGATCCATGGTATTGTCCAGAAAAGGAGAGGAGAAGAAAACTTGGGGCGGGGAAGATGAAGAAAAAAGAAGGAAGATGATGTCCAGAAGAAAAGGACAAAAAAGCAAGGTATTGGTATAGCTTTCCAAAGGTCGGCGCCTGTAGAAGGGGTAGATGGCAAAGATGTAGATAGGCAAGCCATACAAAAATAGATATGTAAAGAGGGGAAGATGGAGAAAGAACCGACAACAGCAAAGGGAAAGGCAGTTCAAGGTCATGCTTCACTCTTCTCCTTGCTGAGCAACGTCTTGAAAGAGGCCTTTGTCCGGAGCCCCATGCCCACCACGAACAAGACAACCCCCACAATCCACTCGCACCACAAGATGGGCAGTGCCCTGTACAGATGTGGATTGCATCCATCCGTCCAGATCTGAAGCAGGATCTCGTAGAGCGAATGTGCCGGGAACACATATCCAATGCGGTAGAAGCCCGGAGACAGCTCGAACGGCCCGATAGTACTTGAGACATTGAGGATGATCCAGGTCAAGACGAAGAACGGCACAAAGGGCATTGGAATGACGGCGGTGGCGAAGTCGATGAGCAGGAAGTGGACGTGCATGGCGAGCCAAATGGCCATCCAGGTTAAGGCAAACTGTCCGGATGAGACGGCCCAGTGCTCGCGGAACGCCCAGATATATCCGGTCATGACGAGGGCGGCGATGAATGTGTAGCAGATGGATATGATGAACCGGAGGATAGTGTTTCGTCTAGCGGAGAAAGTGTCGAACATGTTGTTTTGCATGGAGATACCGTTCATGGCCATTATGAAGAAGAATTGGATGATGATGGGCATGACCATTGAGACGGTGTTGTAGTAGAATCGGACGCCTTGGTTCATGGGGCTTATATCGGTTGGGGTGAAGGATATCGGGTCGAGGAGCGTTTGCGCGACATAAGGGTCGGAGATGTTGATTGCACTCAGGGTTGTGGTGAGGTTCGTCTGCTTGTAGACGCCGGCTGCAGCCTGAGCAAGCTGTATCAGATCCGAGGACACGATTTGTGAGTAAGCCGGATATTTGGTACTGCTATAGACGTAGCCTAGCGCCTGAGAGTTATCATAAGCTTCAGCAGTCTCTGAGGAGAATAGTGCGCCAGCTAGTCGGGACGAGGCATCGCGGCCGGAATAGATCGCTCCCCAGTAGTCGCCTTTGCAGACCGCTTCTTGAATGTCTTGCCTCGTCGGATACTCTTCTTGAGAGTGTTCGTGAAGAGATGGAAATCCGGGGCCTCTCATTTGGTCGTAGGCCACTGTCACAGACTGACCAACAACTCCCCCGTCATAGTCAACATACAACATTTTCATTGTGCTGAATCGCGAGCCGTCACGATAGGCCGTACCGTACAAGTAACTCATATTGGCAAGAATCAACAACTGCAGCGACACAGCTGCGCCAATGACGCCAGTAAGGAACGGTTTGGGGATCGCCATGGTACCTGCCGCTTTCTCTGGCTGAAGGGAACAAGAGGAATCGAGAGAGAAGCCAGATAAAGCCAGGAGCTGACGAAGTATAGAAAGGGATTCATCGCTATAAATATGTGACTTGCTTCGGAGGTCGGACCAAAAAAACTTGACTAATCCTAACACCGAGATCAACTCTTGTCGAAGGGTCTCTTTTGCCTCTGATGCGTGACATAAAAGTAGATTAGACCATGGATTCAATTTAGGGCACGGATCTCCACCTACCTACCTCCACGGTACGGCTCTGCTTCTGATGCTTGGGCAGGCTCCGATGAGATAAGCGGAAGGACTCCACTCTAGGCCCACGAGGTGCACCTCCTTCGCAGAACAGACAAGCTCTTCAGTAGTAGACTTGTTAGGCGCGTTCAGTCACCGATGATCTGCAGCTACCAGATTCAGGTAGTGAACCGGGTGGATATGCTGACGGATGTTCATTGTTGCCATCCACGAGAACCTCAAGGTCGTATGAGCGTTTGTCCGGCCCTGTCCGGGCCCATCATGGGGACATATATAAGGCGGACGCGTCCGAGATCATATGTTGCGTGATAGACACTCCCTTCAAGACTTGATATTCGTTTCGCTGCGAGCATTTTACATTGCGCTTCAACATCCTACCTAAAAATGCCCCTCAAAGTGATCGTTGTTGGTGCAGGCCTCGGTGGTCTGGGTGCTGCTATAGCTTTGAACCGCGCAGGACATCAGGTGCAGGTAAGCAGCGGTTGAGGCGCCTATTCTGCAGTTTGTTCTCCAGACCATTACTAAGATTGATCAGGTTATTGAAAAGTCTAGCTTCCTCAACGAGGTCGGGGCGGCTATCCATGTAGCGCCTAATGCCACTCGCATCCTGAAAGCCTGGCAATGCAACCTAGATTTGCTTCAACCCGTCCAGTGCGAGACACTGCAGGTCTGGGACGCAATGGGAAACCACGTGCGCACTCCCATTGTAGGTTTTTCCCGCAGGTCGTCAATTTGTCTCTGGTACAATCGTTAACTGATGAGCGCTACAGGTTACGGAGGAGCAACAGCGTGCCTTGAAGGTGGACGATGAATGGGTGCTGACCCATAGGGTAGACTTACACAATGCTCTGCGCGACAGGGTCACCCAAGAGATTGACGGCCGCAGGGTCGACATCCGATTGTCATCCCGGGTAATGTCGGTGGCAAGTATCCCGTGACGCAGTATTTCCTCACGACTAACCCTAGCAAATACGTGCAGGATGCAGAGGCCGGTGAGGTTGTCCTTGAGGATGGAACCAAGTACGTTGCTGACCTGATTGTGGGTGCCGACGGCGTCCATGTAAGTTGTCCATTACGCCATGAACTGTAACATCTGAGCATTCCACTGACTGCCCTCGTTAATCTCTACAGTCTCGCTCAGTCCGCGCCATCGCAAGGACAGACAGAGGCAGCGTAAGAACCGGTCAAAACTGCTACCGGTTCTTAGTACCCGTCGAAAAAATGCAAGACAACCCACTCACGGCAAAGCTCCTTGCGAAGATCAATCTGAACGGGGTCCATGTCTTCGCGACCCGGGATCGACGTTTAGTGATGTACCCCTGCCGCAAAGGCAAGTTGCTGAACGTGGCTGGAATCTACCCGTCCACGTCCGAGACAGACACCCCTGGTGATGCGGCATGGCACAATGCGGGAAGTGTAGACCAGTTACTCGAGACATTCAGCGGCTTTAGCGAGGAGCTGCGGGAGATGTGTCGCTTGGCCGAGGATGTCAAGCTATGGAGTCTGGCGTCTCGTGATCCAGCGCCTATCTTCGTCCGGGGCAAGCTCGCTTTGATTGGCGATGCTGCGCACCCCATGCTGCCTCGTAAGTTGTTCCAGCACGCTTTTCATGATATGATGCTGACAAGCTTTGTACAGATCAGGGCCAGGGCGCCGCGCAAGCTTTTGAGGATGCGGCAGCTCTTGCCGGTGTGATGACCGCGGACACGACCGTGGAGCAGATCTCGCAGCGCCTGGGACTTTACAATAAGCTCCGGTACGGGCATGCAGTGACTGTCATGATGATGTCAAGAACCAACGATGAGCGGCGGGCGGAAATGCTGGATGAGCTCCGTCGGTATGTCCCCGACGCGGAGGTTCCGAAGGACATGTTCACCTACACCTGGCCATCGGAGCCCATCAAGGAAGCCGCACAGCTGGTAGAAGCTGCTATGGCGTAGGGAGTTAGACCCACAAGTTGCGAAACAAAGTACAAGCATAGAGAATGGACGTTTCAGAGTGGGCCAGGATTGAGCGAGGGTTGAGCGAGCGAGCGAACCGCGGAAAGCAAGACGTGATTAAGTAAGCGGAGGCTCCGGAGCCGGAACCCAGTCAAGTCCGCGCCGAATAGGAAAGAGGCCATGGCCTCGGTCTCTACCCATCGGCCCCATCCCCATAGTTGCCCCTATATGCTCGACACAATGGTTTCTCATCCCTCTCTTGGTCTCCGCAAGCCCCGAGCGAATACCTCTTTACAGTATTGCTCTGTCATTAAGCGAGGCAAGCCACCTTGAGAATGCAAGCCGCGGTGCCGCCCTGTGCTCCGGCCCGCAAATTCACAGCCTGCGACGTGTGTTATCAGAAAAAAGTAAGTCCTTGTATTCATTTGTGGACCTTGGTCTAATCGGAGTAGATTAAATGTGATGGCGCTCGTCCACGATGTAATTGGTGCCTTCATCAGCAGTTGGAGTGTACGTACACAAGGCCAAGTCCGCGCAGGGTCACGAAACGAGCTCAGGCCAGCCGGTGCGGTTCCCTACTGTGGCATTGTGGCGGTTACCCTACTCATGTGGTTATAGGACTGCAGTCAAACGAGTCGGCTTACTTGAGCGTATACGGCAGCTCGATGAGCGCAGAGCAGATGCCATGGCTCACGGTAAGTCCTTTGGTTGTCTCTTCGTACCCACACCTTATACTGTAATCCCATCTAGGCGCTTGATTAACTGCTCTTCAAGGTATTGAATCTGCAGAAAGATCTGGCCCCTTAGTCAGGGCACCTTACTCATCAACGACCTTGACACCGTGCCCTAGAATAATACACTTTGCCGGTTGGGAGATCTTGAACATCAATGTTGCTCAGGCTGGTGCGCCGGACCTGCTTCCAGAAGGCCTGCATTGGATCAAGTCACGGTCTGGGGTTGTTATCTCTCTACCTACTTCCAGCCATGCTCCCTGGGAGAAGCCTCTTTCATCCATGGACGAGTCGGGCCTGTTGGCCATTGGCACGATCCTGGAACTGCCCAAGAAACCAGTTCTGAAGCAATACTTGGACGTGTACTTGTCATCTCACATGTACAAGATTTTCCCAGTCATTGACTCATCTCTTTTCTCTCTTACGATCCAAGCGGCATATCAACCGAGAGGCCTTGGGTCCAGTATCCCGAATCCCAGCGCGCGAGCATGCGTATTTGCCTTCATGGCGTTCGTCTCTTGCTTGGGTCAGCTTGATACCTGCAGTAATGTCCCACGGCCTCCTACTCCATGCAGAGAGTACATTATCCAAGCGCGATCGCTCTTGCCCGCTATTATCCAAGAGCCGCTTAATCTGGACGCGTTACAAACAGCTCTCATACTGGTATTTTTTTTTCCCCTTGTGCTGATCTTGGCAACCCTCAATTCGTGCTCATCAATATCTGGTTCACCCAGTGCTAACAAGCATTCATCATTCTAGGCAGTTATTAGCTCTCTTACCGGCGAAGTGCAAACGGCAGTATACCGCATATCCGTTGCCGCGCGTTTTATTATAGCTTCCGGGGCGCATACAATGACAGATGAAGTGGCTTCTACCGGCACCTCAGATGTAATTGTTAGACGACACCTCCGTACCCTTTTTTGGCTTTGTTACGCCCTCGATAAAGACCTCGCACTTCGTACAGGCCAAGCCCATGTCCTCAAAGATGATGATTGCGCCCTTGACCTCCCACCAGCCTACCCTGAGCACCTCCACCTATGCCTCGATCACTCGCCTGGGACCGACACCGACATCAGCGGTCCAATCTTCCCCGTTGAACTGCGTCTGAGCATGGTCAAATCCCGAGCGTTTACAGCCCTTTACTCGCATAATGGTCTCCGCAAATCGGACACCGAACTCATCCGGTCAATCCGCGAACTCGACGAAGAGCTCGAGTGCTGGAGAATATCTCTGCCTCCGCACCTCCGACCGCAGCTGTCTTTCGCACCAAGACATGACAAGCCGAAAAACACCTTCCTAATCCTCACCCACATGAACTACTATTCCTGTGTCAATCTAATTCACCTCGCCAGTAGCCGATGCAGCGCCTGGCGCTCGCCTTCCACGGAGGGAGGCGCACTTATACATGGGCTGCAATCAAGCCTCGCACTCGCTGTTGAAGCCAGCCGCTCATTACTCCTTTTCCTGCAGGACTCCGAATTCCGAGTGAGTACAGGGAGTTTCTGGTATGGGTCTGGCCTTGTATATCCTTATCTTGTCGACAAGCAATTCTGACTGCTGCAAGGGCCCTCCTCTTCTATTCCATGTCTGCGGTCATTACGATATTTTGCAATATACTCGAGAACCCTGGTGCGGAGGGTGCGGGAAGCGATATGCAGCTTCTTTTTCTAGCTGAACAAACGACCGCACGACTATATCTGCGACGAGATAATCCAATGGATCGGGTCATCGACTTACAGCCCATTAGTGACTTTATATCTGGCTTACGGGATCATGCCCACCGGGCGATTACTTGGGGAGTCGCACATAGAGGGGAACTGGCAGGTGCCGCTAGTAGAACAAGAGGTGGTGAACTAGGATGCTCCGCTTAGATAGCGTTCCATGTACCCATTAGGACCACACCTGATAAGGGCGCTTTTATGGGATAATGCTTGGACATGATAGTTGGACTAGCGCAATCTACGTGCAACTTTCCCTGGGAGTCTGTGCCTGACTTTGAGTCCGGAATTTTGAACTGATGTACCAGCTATCCTTCCACTTACGCCAGGAGTCACCATGCAAATGCAAGGAGCACCATGATGCCGTACTTCAAAAGCTCTAGTTACCTACTTGTATGGTAGGTCCGGCGTGGAGTTTCTTAAAGTAGAAAGACTGATCTCTTCAAGGTGTGTCGGCAGCAAGACCATGATTAATACGCCTCTGCGCCTGCATCCATCGAGATATGATTATGTCTTCAATATAATATGAAACTATACCATGGACTGAGTAACAGCTACGTCGCCAATTTGCTCCTACGACCGAACAGAGCCCAGACTGATTTAGTGTGGCACGAAAGGAGGAGGGGTTATGCAGGCCTGCAGGACAATGGCAACGGATAATTCACGCCGGTTGCTATGGTCGTCGAGGACTCGGAGGTAGGGCTCAGTAGCGCGGCTTCTACGCCACAAACTCGTGCACCCTCGCCGGCTTTGCTTGGCTCGCGAGACTGGCCGAAGGGGGTTGTCATGGCGGGTAGCACAGCTACCTGGGTGAATGCCGGACCCCTTGCGCTTGTAGAATGAGAGGGGCCGTGTTCTCGCAGTGTCTTTGAGGTATCTACGTAGAGTTGCATGGTCATTCGCGATGCTGCAGATCAAGGTCATAGTGAGCTTTCTCGAGTCCTACATGCCGAGGGGGTGGTTGGCATGTCCCTTTGTAGTATTAGATCGGAATGGAGGTGGTATGTGGCTGCTCTTTGTCGAGAAGTACTAGTGGCGTGCCGCGTGCTTGATACTTCTGGAGGTCGAGGTTCGCGGTCGGAATGCAAATGCAATCCCCGCAAACTCTACTCTGTGCGCCGATGAGCGTGGAATAGATGGCGGGTTCCGGAAATGCTTTCCGCTCTGATTCACGACTTTAATGGGGCCCTCGGGACGCAGGTGCGGTAAACCTACATAGGTAGATCAGAAGTTTCCAGCTCATGTGGAATGTAGGTGATACGACCGGGCGGTGCATTCCATTTTTGCGTTTCTGATTGTTGCGAACTCCGAGTCCTGGCATCCAGGGCAAGAATGTAGAATGTAGTCTATCCTGCGTTGGCATGGAAAGCATAATGTGATAACGTAAAGGGAACTCAGATCCTTACTGGCTTGGGATTTGGATCCGGCCTGCAGCGGCCATCCACGGCAGTTGAGAACTTGGAAATTGAGGTTTCGACCAATAAATGCCAAAAGCAAAGCATCCGTGACACTTGGGGAATTTCTTTTGAGGTTCAAAGGATCAGGATTGGACTGTGCTCAGCCGGGGACCCCAGGTCAGTTCGAAACCTGGTGCGGTCGACGTCCACTCGGCGATCCTCTCCACTCTACCTACCCCGCAGTTCCGGCATCCTCAGAGTTGGACCCTTGGTTCGATCCTCCGTAGCAGTCTTCTTTCCAGAACACTACCAGGCGGTTTCTCTTGCCCTTGTCGAAGACGTTAATCTATCGGCAGATCCCTTAATGCGCATAGATCGGATTCTATCACGGGACGCATCGCTTAGCTGGTTGGTTATTGACGAGAGTTCATGCCAATGTATCCCACCGGTGGTGTATTTTGGTGTACAGAGCATGCAACGCCGATTCATTATGGAATCATAAGCGTTTGAGAGTGACCCTTGCGGAAGTGATAAACATGCCCGATGGAGTACTGATGGTCTTTTGGAGTTCCGCTGAGTCCTTTAGTGTCCACAACTAATTCAATTGGAGCACCCATAGGGTCCTTTTGAATTCCGGAGTAATGCCTCAAGCGAACTTTTGGGATGGGAGATAAGAGATAGCCAGTATAGCCCCCAGACGAGTTCCTCGTCTAGAATCAACCAGCCTTGCCCATCTGCAAGATAGTGTCATCGGCCCAGCAGCCTCCGATTCTAAATTCGTCCAATATCCCTGGGTGATGACATCGCCGGAGGGAAAAGAGTCAAGTGAGGAGGCTGCCATTTGGGTCTGGACGCAGCCATCCATGGGCCAGCGAAGCACCTGATACAGTTACCAGCCAGTAGCTAGGAAAGTGGCGCTCACTGGTCCAATAAGATATCTCGAACCAGACTGCATACAGCACTGCATGCGTGTTATGCAATAACAGTGACTGTTAATAAATCGATATTGGACAACCCATGATGGCTGGGACCTGAAGGACAGGTAGGACAAAAGGCTTCATTTACCGCTGTTGAGAGTCGATATCGAATAGCACGTACAGCTAGATGACAGGATCAACGGCTTCATACGTGGCGTCGGGCCGTCCGCGGCGTGTCGAGGTCGATTGTCCTGGGTCGACCGGCGATGGCAGCGAGGATGACTATCTTGACAAGCGTCATCTTATATCCATGGATATGTTATATTTATCCTCCACCCTTGAATAACGTGCCGTCTCAAATTCCAGCAGTACGTAGAAAGCATAGTTGACGCTAATGATGCCAGGAGGGCCGGGATCCTGGCGAATAACGGACTTTCTGCTACCGGCGCCGGAAACTGGCCGAGTAAACAGCAATGGTGACTCGATTTCATCCGCTTTTCCGGCGGAGTTAGAAACGCGAATGAGCCAGATCCATTTCTGCAGGATATATTGGGACTCTCTTCCGCGATGCGGCCTTAGACTGAGGAATGAATGGCGTCTGTTTGTGGCGTCCTCGATTCTCCCGTAGGTGTGGAGCAGACGGTGATCATACGGTAGAACAGATCGGACCCGTACTTTCTACTGGGACGAGTCAATTAGTTTCATCACAACAACATATATTGCTTTCGAGATAACGGGACACGCTCCACCTGAGAAAACATAGCTGGCCAGGTTGTTTAACTAACTGCGATTGGGAATCGAGATAGCTAGGCCGTGAATGTTTTTGGCAAACTCACGTGATCATACCGACCGTTTATCCGCTAGTGTCTTAGTCAGGCCGCAACCTCGTGTTATTGGCCGGGCATCGTCAGAGCACTCGCTCTGCTTCTTGACTTTCAGTCCGTTATTCTCTGGGCACTGTCTATCTATCGTCCACTTATCCCCGTCTTCGAAATAGTTCTCTCCTTCCTGGATACTCTGTTCTGAGACTCGGACGACCATTTGACCACCCATTCCTGCTCGGACCCTAACTGGTGTGGATCATCCCGGCATCGCGTTGACCGTCGCGCCATTCAAATCCCCCGCATAACCGCCTTCTCTCACGCAGTTTCAAGTTTCGACGGCCTCTTACGTGATCCGTCGCTCTTTTTTCAGGCCCTCTTATTATTGAGAAGAGAGCACGGCTTCGGCTGTCATATCTGCAGTTCTGATCAGATTCTCTGTCGCGGTAGGGCTGCTTGTGCTCTTCACCACTCCCCGCGATCCCGCCATGGCCGGTTAATGCAGCGAATGAGTCCATAACCAACGAACAAGGGCACCCGCTCTGCCCTGCAGACGGTTCTGCTCGAAACCTATATTGACCTCGACGGATATTCCATTGTTCCACGCCCTCTGACTCCTCCGACGCGGACCTGTCCCCTCCTTTCGGCGGTATCGTCTCGCCAACATGGCGGACAATGGCACGGAAAATGTACAGTACCTTACTCCCCCGGCCGTAAATGCCCTACGGCAGGAGGCCCGGAGTGTCGATCCGAAGAATTTTCCTACGATGCGTACCTTGAGCAGTGATAATATGCGGGAAGAACGGGAAAACTTGAGGGAAGCAGCGGAGCAAACACTGAATGTCATCGTCGATCTCGACTTGGAAGGCCGTGTCAAATGGGTTAGTCCGTCCTGGAAGCAGGTCGTGGGCACGGCTCCAGAGACGATAGAGCGACGGTTGATCTCGGATGTTCTGGTGGAGAACAAAAGTGCTTTCTGTGACGCGATAGAATCGCTCAAAGAGGACGACTCCCGCAGCCGATTCATTCGCGTTTCAGTGCAGTTGGGCCCTGATTCGGTGTTGAAGTACTCACCTGAACCTCAGCCCCTAAAGCGGGAACAGACAGATGGAGCGGACAGTGTGATCGAAGAGCCCTTGTCCGAGGTTGACGCCCGTGGCCCGGATATTCTGAACTTGGAAGGGCAGGGTATTATGGTTTATGACCGTACGGCTGAGGGCGTCGCTCACGTAAGTTTTCGTTTGATGTATAGAACGAGAATGAAACTAACATGATTTTGAACAGACTATGTGGATGCTACGACCATTTTCCAAGCCAAGAGAAGTTACCATCGATTTACCATCGTCATTGGTAGAGTCATTAGGCGTAGGAGCGGAGGTTTTAGCAAACTACCTAACGGTTCTAGCGGAGGCCGCTGCCAACGAGCCGGATCAATCTAAACACCCTGCGCCGGAGCCTGTTTTGTGTCGCATCTGTGAGCGTCAAATAACTCCTTGGTGGTTCGAAAAGCATTCGGACCTTTGTCTCCAAGAACATCAAGCAGAGATGGACGTTCAGATCGCCCAGGAGAACCTCAATGAGCACCGTCATGCTATTGTCAGGGTGCTCGATGCGCTGGAGGCGCGGCAGGGTAGGCCAACGAATTCCCGCGATGGTGGCTCGCCTACCTTGCCTCAACCAGAGTATAAAGGTCTACCGATCGGGCCCTCGCCTGGCGCCTCGGTGCCTTCTTCAGGGTCGGCATCTACCACTAGCTCTGCTCCTGCTACTCCTCCTAGGTCTAGGGACCAGTCAGTCTCAGGGGCTGCGCATGCACGCGCCCGCTCTTTTGCAGTACGGCGTCCGCTAGCTCGAGTTGTCGAGCTGATTCTCGATCTTTGTGATACGGCACTTGAAATCAACATGCCTGTTCTTCGAGAGCCCCGTGGCGATAACGGTGACGAATTTCGAACCATGTCACCGCAGTCGGAGTCTCGAATTTCCCAGGTGCTTCAATGGCAATCGCCGAGCTCGAATACTCTGGAGCAGGAACAAGGTCTTGCTGCACTGTGCATGGATACGGAGCAAGTGGCCAGATCAAAGGTCGATGCGGTTGTTCGTCATCGCCGGATTGTTGAATACGCGGAGAGAATTCGTATTGAGTATACAGTGCTGGTGGAAGAATGCATTGCGGCAGCACTGAGAAAAGCTGAACGTATCGCCGCCGGCCAGCTCAGCGATTCCAGCTCTTCTGACGATGAGACGCCTCCAGAAGATCCCGTTTCCGACGCAGCTGCTCCCTTGTCTTCTATCTTCGCGCAGAATGCTGGTCATGAGCCTGAGTTACCCCCGCCAGTCTCGGCTTTGACCATGTCAATGCGCAACGCACAGGACCGTTTCCAATCAGGTCATTCCTCTGAGGGGAAGTCGTCATCTGCTGCAGTCTCAACCGGTCCATCTAGTCCGATGGAATGTCCTACCCCTCGTTCACACAGGAGTGTCGCTGGGCTGCTAGGGACATCTCAACCGTCGCGACGCGGGCTGTCGTTGGCTGATATTGATTCAGGCGACCAAAGTGATAGCAGCATTGTCTCGTCTTCGATCACTGGAGCTATGAGAACTGATTCCCCTTCGTCCGATCTAAGCCTGGAACGTAAGCGCAGAAGCCTGGTACTTCCTGGGCTGTCCAGCTCCCCTCGGCGACAGCATTCCCCCGCTAGGCCGTCTGGCCCTCATTCACCACTACGTATGCCTAAGCCGCGTCTTTCTACTGGGGCTGAGAGCTTATCATCTCCAGTCGTATCGCCCTCGGCCAATCTAGGCGAACTAGCTCTTCATCACTATCGGCATCATCGCCGTCAATCGTCAACGACGTCTTCCGACTTGCCTAGGCCACCTGTGTCGCCCCATTTGACAACCGCCAGCCAACCCCAGCCGCGCCCGGTACCTCCATCCATCAAAGACTTTGAGATCATCAAACCAATCAGCAAAGGTGCATTTGGCAGTGTCTATCTGTCCAAGAAGAAGACTACTGGGGAATACTATGCGATCAAGGTACTTAAGAAGGCCGACATGGTTGCCAAGAACCAGGTCACGAATGTCAAAGCCGAGCGAGCGATCATGATGTGGCAAGGGGAAAGTGATTTCGTTGCTAAGCTCTACTGGACCTTCTCCAGTAAGGACTACCTCTACCTCGTCATGGAGTATTTGAACGGGGGCGACTGTGCTTCGCTTGTCAAAATCCTAGGTGGATTGCCTGAGGATTGGGCAAAGAAGTACATTGCTGAAGTTGTCCTGGGCGTGGAGCATCTTCACAGTCGCGGCATCGTGCATCGTGACCTCAAACCAGATAACTTACTCATCGATCAAAAGGGCCATCTCAAGTTAACAGATTTTGGGCTGTCTCGCATGGGACTAGTCGGTCGTCAAAAACGTGTTCTAAAGAGCATGAACGAACAATCGGCGGACATGATAAAGCAAGGCTCGTTTCCTCGAGCCACATCCATCGCCTCGTCTCGATCTGCTTCATTTGACTTCCAGGGTAGTGGCTCACCAGGATCTACTCCATTGATCACCCCAGATGTAGCGGGAAGCATGCCTCAGCCGTCCTACTTCAGCCTCAATCAAAGTGGTCTTAATCGACAAACCTCGCGACGAGCATCTGGGTATCGCAGTGACAGTGGGGGCAGCGAGAATTTGAATGCGATCTTTCGAACACTGTCATTAAACGAAGGAGGTGAAACGCCTGGTGCAATCCCCATTCCTCCCCCGCCTCCTTCTGACAGCGCACATGAGGAGGAACGCCAGAGCGAGCCAGGAGAATCTCCGTATCTGCATCCACTTCAACCGTCACACAGCAACGTGTCCACCGGTACCCCACCTCAGCAAACCATGATACCTCCTTTGATGGCGCTGTTTGATCCCGAAGATCATAGCAGACGCTTCGTGGGTACACCGGATTATCTAGCGCCCGAGACGATCAATGGTGTTGGTCAGGACGAAATGAGTGATTGGTGGTCTTTGGGCTGTATAATGTTTGAATTTCTCTTCGGCTACCCGCCTTTCAACGCGGCCACCCCGGACGAGGTGTTTGAAAACATACTCAATCGAAGAATTAATTGGCCGGACGAGATTGAAGAACTGGCATCACCTGAAGCCATTGACCTCATGAACAAGCTCATGGCCATCAACCCCCGTGAGAGAATAGGCGCAAATTCGGAAGAAAAATTCCCCAGCGGCGGGGCAGAGATCCGGAGTCATTCTTGGTTCGCAGATATTCATTGGGATACTCTTCTAGAGGATAAGGCTCAGTTTGTCCCCAACCTGGAAAACCCTGAAGATACCGAATACTTCGACGGCCGTGGTGCCACACTCCAGGCCTTCACTGAAGAAGAAGAGAGCTCCCCTCAACCTCCAGTCACCACGGGCTCGTACATCGATAGACCGCATGACGCACTTTACAAAGTTCGCACGCAGGTCAACTCGATCAAACGACCCTTGATGCCTCTGCATATCCCTCCACACGTTCGGGAGTCCCGGAGCAGAAGACTCAGTGAGCCTTCATTAGCAGACGACTTTGGGAATTTCGCTTTTAAGAACCTTCCAATGTTGGAGAAAGCCAACAAGGATGTGATCCAGAAGCTACGACAGGAAGCGTTGCAAGCACAACAGCGGCAGTCGAGCAACGCAGGCTCTCAGCCGCCGCAGCAGAACCAAGGTCAATCCCAGGCACCAGGCCCAGCACCACCCTCGTCTGGACCGTCACTAGATGGAAGTCCATTGCCTATGTCCCTTCAACGGACCATGTCTCAATCGAAGGGAAACAATAGGCCTGCGTCACCATCCACTCTCAGTCAGGCCAACTCGTCACCAAGCCGCCCCTCGCAGCCTTCGTCTCCTCTTCTAGTGCAGTTCAGCACAGGTCATAATCACGAGCGCAGAAAGACCTCGGGATCGTCTTCAACTACCGCTTCTCATCAGTCTAGTGGATCTTTCCAGCCTAGCTCTGCAGATCAGACTCGGGTGGCAAACAGCAATAAATTTGGCTCTGCATCATCGTCTCCAATAAAGCCCAATCGAGGTGGACCACATTCTCCCGATAAAACCGTTCCGAGTCCCCATCGCCAAAGCAGTGTTCCGACTACAAGAACACGGTCTCAAACTATAGGATCACAGGATGGTGAACTCTCTTCATCACTAGCTAGAGAAACCTACGTCGCTGGCCACCACAAACGCCGAAGCCAATTGTTCGATGTCTCGCCCTCTTCTTCAGACAATGAGGACCCACGTACAAAAGCCCTGCTAAAGGTGCAGCGGCGCCGCCAGAGCTCAAGGCGGATGTCTCAAATCAACTTTGCTGATGGTCCCTTTTTCCGACCTTTGGATATACTCATTTGCGAAGATCATCCAATTTCGCGCTTGGTCATGGAACGTCTCTTCGAGCGTCTCCGTTGCCGTACCATTACAGTTGCCAATGGGGCAGAAGCAGTACGCTATGCGCTTAGTGAGGTGCAATTTGATATCATCATGACTGAGTTCAAGCTCCCGCAAGTCAACGGAGCGGACGTTGCGCGGATGGTCAGAGAAACTCGTAGCGCCAATCGCCATACGCCCATAATCGCGGTCACCAGTTATCTCAAGGATCTTCCGGAAACACATCACTTCGACTCGCTCATTGAAAAGCCGCCGACCCTAACAAAGCTGACCGAGGTGCTTTGTAAATTCTGTCAGTGGAAGCCGCCACCGAAAGACTACAACCCGTCAGTGTTTGCTGCTCGTCATACGCCTCCTGCCCAGTCGGAGCATAGTCCAAGCTCAACGGTATCGTCAGGGTACGCGCTTGTGCCATCTAGCTCTTATCGCGGGTCTAGTCGTGAGGAATCCATCGGCAGTAGCTATTTCGGCGATTTGGATTCCATCAAAGCTGAAGAAGTCCCTGTCATTGTAAGCCGACAAGCAGATGACTGGGCCCAGAGCTCAGGGGGCTTGGGAATAACCAGGTCTGAGGACTCGGCTACTGGACAGGGAAGTACAGACTCGAATCGCGAGACTCAGAGCACCACAGTGCCGTTCCCCGGCTTGCCTCGCGCTGCCTCAAGTCCACCAACGTTGAGTCCTTCGGGTATGCTCACTCCGCGAAAACAGCGCTCTAGTGAAGCCATTCGAGCCAAGAGAGAGTCGCTCGAGCACAAACGCTACGAGTGTGCCGAGTCTGGTGATGACGAAGACGAGGAGCTTGGCAATTTGCCGGCAAGGACGCAAAGCCCGAGGAATCGCACGAGTCGGCCTGGCTCTAAACTCGGTATCGAGATGATGAGAACCAACAGCCGAGGCAGCGTTATTAGCACCAACGAGGATCTGCTTAAGAGAGATAAAGAGGTTGGAGAACGAAGCATGAGTGGTGATTCCGACGATGCAGATGAACATGGGAAGATTCGGTCTGGTCGAAGCTCGTTGGAAAACAGGTTTGAAGAGCTCAACATTCCCGAAGAAGCTATTTTGGCATCTATCGAAGACGACCTAAGCCCAGGAAATTCCCCATCTCCTCTAGCTCTAGCCTCAAGATCGATACTTTTGACACCTGATGCCAAGCCACCGTTCTCTCGGTATATCACGGAGATCTACAAAAGGGCAGGCAGTCGCGCGAACTCCGAATCTCCTAAGCGAGGACAGATAACTCCTCCCGTCGTCTTCCCCGGCCGCTCTCAGAATTCCGACGAAGCATACCCGAGCACACCCCCTATTCCTATTATCTTGTCAGATGGTACTGTCGACGCAAGACCAGATACATCGTCAAGTCTCACACCCATTCCGGATTCTGATGCTACGCCTCGGCCTATGCATACGCCGTGCCCGCATCCGGATTCAGAAAAGACCCCTCGACCAGGAAGGTAGAGGAAGAGATAGAAATCATGTCTATGTCTTTCTATACACCGTAGAATTGCTCGAGCGTCTTGTATGCGCGTTTGGTCCTTTCAGCGATAGTGTCTTAACCCACATTCGCCCTTCATGTCATACTTTTATACATTACACGCCCCTTTTATGCCCACCATGACGACTTGTTTCTTCTTTTACCACTGTTTCTGATCACTCACCATTTTGTCAAAATACGGTTCCTTTCTTTTTTATCTGTTCAGGGCTTAAGCGGGTGTTTGGGCGCGATATCCATCTTTGTCTATCCTCACTCGACCAGGCTGTTCGAGTTGCGCATGCATTCTTTTGATCTTCTTTCTTTGTGCTTTCTCTCTCGGAAGGTTAATCTCTCCTGTATGTCTGCCTAGGTATACTTTATCTTACTCCGCTTCGAGACTTTTGTTTTCGTTTGTATCTATCTTTCAGGCTCACCTTGGTTGGCACTGGGTATCTGGAAAACCCCCGGGCCAGGCCAGACCAAGGCAAATTGCACTTCGAGACTGTCGTATGTATGTTACCTACCTTTTCAGGTCCAATTTATATCCTTACCGAAACCCGGATGGTGCTGTTGTGATCTGGATACGGTTCTTTTTGGGTTCTAGGGTAGCGAGATAGCTATAAAGGATCGAGCTTGATGATGCCACTAACGAAATAACTACGATGTACGGGTAAAGGAAATTATTGTAGGGTAGATTTAAGAAACTAAGTAAATTTTGCTTGTAGTCCAAGCGCTCTGGACATATATATACCGAGGTTTCTTCAGCGACGCAGAGTATACTATAACTATTGGCGATCGCCGAGGAACAATAGGACCTGAACAAGAAGACGATGGATGCATGGAGAAAACACGGCTAGCTATGGACGCCACGACGCCGTTCAGCTCATGAGAGGTTGGTAGTATACCTAAGGGTCAACATCTATGGGGCCTCCGTTATGCCTTCATATAGGCCAAGGCAGACCCCCGCACTATCTACACTGTCAGACTCGCGAGGGTATGGATGGGATGGAACCATTCGATCAAATGGGGTAAAAGCAGTAAACAAAACTTCAGCGGCTATGTGATTTTACTACTAGAGCAGTCTTTTCCCGTCGAGCCTGATATATATCCATTCACCTGATGTTCGGCTGCAATCGAAACTAGACTGAGAAGACCAGAGGACATCAAATTAACTCAGAGTTCATATTGAGTATTGCTGGCATGTGAGGAATATAAGAGTTAGAGATGGAGAATAGTATATTTGGTTAATTGTATGTGCGCATGATTTATGTAGCATGAAGTTGGTGATAGACAAAAAAAGTAGACAGACAGGTAGATATCAAGCGGAGAAGGAAGGTATCAGATAGCCGCCGCAGTATGATGTATCAAGCAAAGGAGCGCTTCAGATGATTGAACCAAGGAATAGATGCTGGAGGCATATATGTCTGAAGAGGTAGAAGGAAGTTAAAGGAAGGTAGATTGGAATATGTATGAGGAAGGAAGAAAAGGAATTATAGTGAGGGACGATGGGTGATGAGGGCAAGAGGACTAAGGTAAATCACGAGGATTCTAAATCTTATCAAATGGCAATGGTAGGACATCAACTCATAGCCTCTTCTCGTCAGGATGATAGGAAGGCGAAAGAGGACGGATGGCGGCCGCCGAGGAAGAACCTTGCTCTGAAGAACGACCTTGCTCCATCAGGTCTTCCTGTCGGCTGCTGCGGGAGTTGGCTCGATGACGGAAGAATCGATTGCGGCTGAGGGAGGATAGACTGTGTCCGCCTTGGGAATCGGTGGAGCGCCGACCCTCGTGGGAGTTACTCGGTACGCTGAGATTAGTACGAGAATTCGAGGTTTGTTGACGAGAGAGTTCTGTGCTCCGCCGTTCAGCCTCTTCCTCCTGGATTCGGCGCTCGGCAATTACGTGTCGGAGGGTAGATTCGTTGACGGGACTGCGTGCTTCAAACACATCGCCCATGATGTCGTTGGTGGCGACATCGCGCATACCGAGCGAGAAGTCTACGTGCTTTCGAGAGGAAATGGACACGCCGCGAGCTCTGGCGTTGGCAGTAGTCATACCCTTGCGGAGAATTGAGGGACGGCGAATGGAGGGACTGTGGCCGGGTTGGTGGTGCTCGTCGCCACTCAACGGGGTAGGTGGTGGGTGCGAGCTGTCATCGTTGGCTGGGTGAGCAGCGTCTCGAGCCTGGTAGGGTGGAGGATAACCAGCAACGTGATAAGGAATATCGATACTGGCACCCTGGAGGTTCATGCGAGGTCCTTCAATGCCAATCTCTTGCAACGCAACCATGAGCATGCAAATGAACTTGTTACGGCGCTGAAGACGTAGACCTTCATTCTGCCAGTTGGATTTGTAGAAAAAGACGACATTGAGAGTGACGGAGAAGTTCTCAGTGACTGCGCGTAGCTCGGTCAGAATGTTCATCTGGAACTCACGACGTTCACTTCGGACAAATTCGAGAAGACGTTGGCGAAGCGCATCCATTTGCTCCAAAGTGGTGCCGTATTTGATAATGATGGGGACAGCTTCCGCAAGCGCTCCGGATCTTCGCTGGTTGAGAACGAACAAGGTATTCAGATAGCTGTTCGGCGCCTGGACGATGTGCCCCTGCATCTTTTTGAATTCGGTATAGAGAAGCGAGATTTGCTTGACGTAGTAATCGTCGCCCAGACCGGCATCACCAGAATTACCGTAGATAGTGACACGGTCACCAACATCGAAGGGATGCTTGACGAAGACGAAAACGACAGACTGAAGGAATTCCTGAGCCGTAGCGGAGAAGAGCCAAGACAGGGCGAGAATACTGGAACCGGCCGATGTAAGGACACCAGCAGCAGAAGTTGAGATGAGGGTGAGGAACACGATGATAGCGATAACGGCAACAAAGAACTCGAAGACATTGCCGAGCCTAGAAACGACTGAATCGAGATCCTTCAGAGACGCAGTGATGGCCTTGCGTTCGCGACCAATCTCTACACAGACTGCCTCCAGTTCCTCCATGGAGATGTCACCGTTCATATCCTTGTCGAACATGCTAAAGGCTGCCTCGGCCTCATCATTGTCGTCAAATGCCTCTTTGAGATCGCCGGGGAATACAGTATCGAAACCTTCACGAACGAAGGTACGGTAGAGGCGTCGTGCCAAGGTCTGGCAGCCCGCCGTTGTTCGCAATAGAGCGAGAACGACCTGAGAAGGATGACTGCTGCTGTTGACTTTTCGGCCAGTGAAGTCAGCCGCAACCGCTCCAGCAACGTCTCCGACTTTGCTCAACGCGCCGAGAGCAATGCCCCTGGCCTTTCCTGCGTAATGCAAAGGAGTCTTAGTCCCACTTCCTGACTTGTCCTGCTTCTCCTCGAAAGCTTCGTCGGTCTCCGTGATCCTGTCCCGAGAGAAGGCGTACAACTTAGTTAGACTGCCAATCTGAAACTTGTTGATCTCAATCCGGTCCGAGTACGTTCGTTTGTGAAAGCTCATGGCGATGAGCTGAAGGAGGAACTTTTCAACGAGATTCAGAATAGTCCAGACGAATATTGAGATGATAATCTTGTTGAGTGTGTTCTCCCAGCTTCTAGTGCGGTTGTTCCCGTCAACATGGTGATTTTTCATGGTAGGCAAGAAAGAAATCTCCACACCGAGCCACCAGAGGAAGAGAGTGACAGGCAGCTCCAGCTGTTTGGCGACATCGCGCCATTTCTTGGAACTGTTGGTGAAGATGCTGGCAATTAAGTTGACAGGAGTAGGCAGAAGTTTAGCAACAATCTGGCCACACTCGTTAGTATCTGCAGTTAGGGATATGACCAGGGATGGTGCAACATACTCTTCCAGCCCACAGCGTCAACCAAACGATTTCCAACCAGACGGAGAACCACAGTAATTCGACACCACCCACGCTTGCATCTGGAAAGGCCAGTGCGCCGACTAGGAGGGGAATGAGTAGTATCAAAACAAGAGGCACAATGTAAGTGAAATAACGGACGATGAAGCTGGATTCGTGGACTCGTTTGATGAATTTCGAAATACCAGTAGAGGGATTCTCAGGTGGATTGTAGACAGCAGCCTTCTCGTGCAATGGATTCGTGGCTTCGTCAAACTCATCAACGTCTTCCGCCCGGCGTGAACGGGAGTGACTCAAAGAGTGGACATCACCGCTTCGGCCGTCCTTCTCGGTTCCATGAGTCGAGCGCGAGGCCACTCGTTCAGCTTCAAGTACTGCTAAATCGTCCTCAAGTCGCATAGCCTGCTCTCGTGCCGCGGAGGGCGATCGACTTGTTTTGTCGAAGTCTTGGAAAGTGGTATCAACTTGGAGATGAGCCCCATGCTGGGCTCGGTGAGCTCCATCGTGGAGTTGCGAACCGTCATGGACGTAGGTGTCTTCGTCAATCGTCGGCGAAGAATCTGACCTCGGCCTTCTGTCCGGCTGCGTATATGACGGTTCAGATATCTCGTGTACAGGCGTTGACATGGCGGCACCAGGCCAGACGGGCCGATTAGAGGTAGTGGGGGGAGCTGTCTATGAATCCAAATGAATGCGACTGATACTGATTAGTGTTGAGAAGATGGAAAGTGGGTGAGCCTAGGGAATGTAAAAAGAAGGAGCAGTAGAACAGGAGAAAATGATATGGACAAGAGAGTGAGGATGGAAAGAGAATAAAGCAGACACAGAGAAGATGATGCAGGGGAGAAGCAGAAGAAAAGATTGACAGCAGCGCAAAGCACAGAGGCGAGACAAACGGAGATGAGGGTGGGGAAGCTCCCGGGACTGTGGCTCCTATACTTACTCGCTGCTAGGGTCCTACCGTCCTCTGCCTCGAGTATCCCTTCAATGGTTTCACGCAGTAGTTTCAAATGAAGAACGAGAGACGACGAAGGGGCTGCGTTCAGAGGAACTGCTTGGTGATGTTAATGCTCAGACGGAATAATGATGAGACTCGAGAATGGGAGTGCGAGCGTGTTACCGAAGATCGAGGCGAGGAGCCGATCGCCATTAGAAGGTGAAGCATTGGCCCAGTTTAACCTGGTGGGGAAAAGGCCGAGATTTTCAGTTCTGGAACATTTGATATTATTTGATGGCCATTGCTATAAGTAGCTCGGATTTGATATTCCATGGAATTGAAGCTTCGATTGGTCTCGCCATCCCAGCTTCCGGTTGTTCCAGTCTCTGACTTGGTCTGTACGTACGACGTTCTGTGCACCGCGCATGCAGTTCCTCTGGCCGTTCTGACCACCGACGTAATGCTGCTGCGATCTCGAGCCAATCGTACAGTCTATCTCAAACGGATCGATACGCGGCGCCTCAGGAAACGGGGTCGGTGGCGACACGCCAAGAACGCCACTCCAGGCACTCCCGGCTCTTCGCGACTGTTGGCCTTTCCCTTGGTCGTCAAGTCGTACACGATGCAGGACCAGACGGGTTCATGAAATGGTATAGAAGTCGTCATATAACCGGCTTCATTCTTATTGGTTTGTCATGGCCCGGTCAAGGTGAAGAAATTGAGGTGGGAACTTAGGTGTAGGCTCGGGCTTGGCTAAAACCTTTGCATAATTTAGCCGATGAAGCTAGCGCGGTATAACCCACTGCACAAGTATTGTGCACAGTGCACCAGCGCCTTGGATCCACACCTTGGGAGTCCTGACTCAGTTCCTAGGCCGTGGGCCTTGAGAAGTTGAGCTATCTGCGTCTGCTTTCTGAAATCTGAATACGCCTGGCTCTGTGCAGTGTTTGTTCTATAGGTAACTTGTAGGTCGATTGACATACGGAGTAGGGTATTGCCCTCTGAAAAACTTCTAGCTACGGAGTAGTAGTGTACGGAGTAACTTGGAAGGTCTCGTCAATAATCCAAGCTTTTTCTGAGTTTTGAGAAAGATCAAATAAGATGGCTTACTTACGGACAGTGGCTGAACCCGTGATCGGCATCAATGCAAGCATGTCAGGTTGCCTGCAAATAATATGAAAGAGCGGCATCTAATAATTTGCGGTCTTCATGACTCAGTTGGATGATGATCTTGATGCTGTCTGCTCGGAGTAGTTCTTTATGGGGTCCTACGCATTGATAGCATAGCGCTACCAGAACCATACGGAGTACCTCGGTTAGAGTCCCACATTCCATGGTTAAATCGCACGTGGTGGAGTCAGGTCAACACAGTTCAGACTTCAAAGTCCAGACGGATAGAAGTCTTGAGAAAGCATGATAAAGCAATCTGTCAAAGTACGTTGACAGGACGCTTCACATTTGGTTTATGGCAGAGTTGAAAGAACAGCCACAGTAGGGTAATGATTGGCGGTGCAACCGCTGCTTTTTGAGGCTAGTGAGGACGAACGCCTTCTACAGCGATCGATCCCGGCCCTCTTCCTTCTCCTCCTTGCCATCTCCCCATCACCAACACCTCTCCAACCCTCCACCTTATCTAATTGAGGATTATCTGGGTGTCTCTCGTCCCTTTAGACTTTACTAACACCCTCAACTTACCATCCACAATGCGCGGCGAGGTATGAATGATCTCCCTACTGCTTTATTTACCTTCGGTCTCCCCCGCACTACACGTTTGGGCCCCTCCCCTGAACTTCAAGTCGGCGGATAAGCACTCTTCGTCTGACCTCTGCCCATCGCGACCGGTCGCACTTTTGCTTTTTTCGGTTCATATGAATTTTGTTTTCTAATTGCGTCAGATTTGCCATATCCATATCGGCCAAGCTGGTACTCAGCTGGGTAACAGCGCTTGGGAGTTGTAAGTTCTCACCGCTTTTTGGAGATATCAACAACACAACAAGGGCTCATCATCTCTCTGTCTCAATCTTTAGGTATCTCCTCGAGCATGGCCTTGGCGCGGATGGACGTCTGGACCCCGAGAAGGGTGAGGAAATCAACGCAGGCGGTTCTTTCGAGACCTTCTTCACCGAGACGGGGAGCGGCAAATACGTTCCCCGGTCTATCTTCGTTGATTTGGACCCATCGGTAGGGGATTCCAGGCCACACGAGTCTGGAAGTATGTTGGCTAACACTCTGGTAGCCAATTGACGAGATCCGGACCGGAACCTACCGTCAGCTCTTCCACCCCGAGCAGCTGATTAGCGGAAAAGAGGATGCCGCCAACAATTGTATGCTTCGAAATCGGACTAGACTGTGGAAAAGCGACTAACGAATCTGCCATAGATGCCCGTGGTCACTACACGGTTGGAAAAGAGCTTGTTGAGACTGTTGTCGACCGTATTCGCCGGCTTTCCGGTAGGTTTTGAACTTTAACAAGCATCGAGAAGCCAATTGCTTATACTAACTTCATCAGACAACTGCAACTCCCTTCAAGGATTCTTAGTCTTCCACTCCTTTGGCGGCGGTACTGGCTCTGGTTTCGGCGCCCTTCTGCTCGAGCGTCTGTCCACGGAGTACGGCAAGAAGTCCAAGCTGGAGTTCGCCGTGTACCCCTCCCCCCGTGTGTCGACCGCCGTCGTGGAGCCTTACAATGCTGTTTTGTCCACCCACAGCACGATTGAGAACTCTGACTGCACCTTTTTGGTGGATAACGAGGCTGTTTACGATATCTGCCGCCGCAACCTGGACATTCCTCGCCCCGGCTATGAGCACCTTAACCGCCTGATTGCCCAGGTCGTCAGCTCCATCACCTCCAGTCTCCGCTTCGACGGTGCCCTCAATGTGGATCTGAATGAGTTCCAGACCAACTTGGTACCATTCCCTCGTATCCACTACCCCTTGATCTCCTATGCCCCGGTCATCTCAAGCAACCGCAGCTCCCACGAGAGCTTCAAGGTCCAGGATCTTACCCTCAAATGTATGTGCCTCTCGGGCTCCATCTTCTGCCCGCCCGTAGATCAGGGATGTAACAACTGACGTTTTCAGGTGCCGAACCAAACAACCAAATGGTTGTTTGCGACCCCGTTAACGGCAAATACATGGCCGTGGCTCTTTTGTACCGCGGTGACTGCGTGCCTCGTGACTGCAACCAGGCTATTGCGTCCCTTAAGGCGAAGGCTTCGTTCAACCTGGTTGAATGGTGCCCAACTGGTTTCAAGCTGGGAATCAACTACCAGAAGCCTGCGCGTGTCCCCGGCAGCGAACTCGCCCCTGTCGACCGTTCCGTCAGCATGCTGTCTAACACAACCGCCATCTCTGAAGCATGGAGCCGTCTCGACCACAAGTTCGACCTCATGTACTCCAAGCGCGCATTCGTGCACTGGTATGTGGGCGAGGGTATGGAAGAAGGTGAATTCTCCGAGGCCCGCGAAGATTTGGCCGCCCTGGAGAAGGATTACGAGGAGGTTGCCGGGGACAGTCTTGACGCGGAGGGTGATGAGGAAGCCGAGTACTAATCGACGGGCGCCCTTCGCATTTGCTTGGCTGGTTCAATTCTTGGTATGCCTGATGTCTCCTTAGTGTGTATTCTGTTATTCTGCTTGCGACAACCCCTCTCTTCGTGTCTAGCGTTCTGTATTTGTTTATTTCCTTTAACTTCTCTCATAGCCAAAACGCTAGATTCTTGACGGACAACCGTACAAAATGAATATAATTCTTAGTATTCAGCTCAAACAAGACAAATGCCGAACCTTAGTGCATGCATTCCTTGAAGTAATACCTAGGAAATCTATGTGTCTATATGATGATGTCTATTCATTACGCCCAGCAGCTATCTCATGTTCTTGAAGAAGCTTCAACGCCCTTTCGTAAGTCCACATGGTCACCGCACTCGCCGGCGCAGCCTTAACCAAACTCACGGTTAAACCGCGATATAGCCCGCGAATGCCCTGGGTCCTAAATATAAGGCCTATGGTATTAAAAACCCCACGGTATTCGGGGATATTGCGATGCACATATAACGCGCGCGTGGGACCCTGGACCTGCAACCGTTTCCGCACCAGGTCAAGCGGGAACACACCCGTTTTTGCAAGGATACTAGCAACCACGCCGGCCGCAGCGTCCCCAGAACCAGGCGGCAACGGAATTGGAGATAACTCCGGCGCAGTAGCCATGGTCGGTCTCAGCGCCTCATAGGTCGCAAAGAATAACCCCATATACGGCACAATCTGGCCCACAGCAGCACTGCAACCACGGAAGAACCCAGTGGGCCCCTCATTCCTCGCAATATCCTTAACAGACGCAAAGAGAGACCCGTAAACACGCTGCTCGCCGGACCCCTGCGCCGCGAATCGCGTCCTTAGCAAATCAAGCGGATACGTCGACGCCGTCGCGATCCCGCCTCCCAAAGCACCGGATATGAACGACTCGACGGGTTGCGGGAGTCGATGCGGATCGAGCTGCGAGAGAAGCTGTGTTGTTGTGCGGTACGTCGTGAACTGGACTCCCCCGTAGCAGACGTACATTAATTCCGCGGGGATGTTGCCTTTCCATAGTCCTGTGAGGCCTTCTTCGCGTAGGATCGTCTTGATCGTAGACAGCGTGCCTTTATAGACCGGTCCGCGGATTTGCGCGTGCGAGGTCGGATCGGATAGAGAGTGGATTTGCAGTTGTAGGCGGATTTTTACAACGTCTAGGGGCGCGATGCAGAATCTGGTGGAGAGAGGTTCTTGTTAGCTGGATGATGACTGCCATAGACTTGAGGGAGGTTGTTTACCGTGAGATAAGGCCGGCTATCCCGCCCGCGAGGACGACTTGTCGCCGTGTGCCCTGAGAATGTTAGAATCCCCGATAGTGTCAATTAAAGGGGAGGCGCACTTCATCTTTCAGATGCTCTCCCCCGGCAGACATGCATGTGATAGATAAGGATGCCTTGGGAGCAGACGTTCTCGGGGTAAGGCGTGATCAGCGAATGCGCACAACTGCCTCGGTCATCTGAAATGAGTAGTATACTGTCTTTGCTTCCGTTGTTTCTCAAGCTTGTGGTTTCTAAAATTTGACGCGCAAGAGAAAATTACGTAACCGACCCTTGCGGAAGCCTTCAGGATCCCGTAAGTCAGTTATTTTGATGGCGAGCTAAAAGGCCAGACTAAGAGCCCCGGTCCCACTGAGCGGGTAGGTTTCTCCGCAGACCACCCTTGATCAACCTTAACCCCATCACAACACAGGTAACTCCGCCATCTCACCATTGACTCCTCCATCTCACAATTGAGTGCCTCAAAATGCGCCGCCCATTGCTACACGCTTCATTGCGTTGTCGCAGAATAATTCCGCCAACAGGCCTAGTGCTCTACGGCCGGATTCCCGCCAACCAGCTGATCAACGTGATTAACGCTGCTGGTCAACGAACCTTTACACTTTCGCGAAGATGCAGCCAAGAGGCGCCAAAATCGACCGAGAAAGAGACTCCTGTTGTTTCTGGGGAGGAAATGGTTACCTCTGAACTGGAAGGCAAGACGTCTTCGGGCATTGACGACCCATCCGCGCCTTCGGGCGAGGAAAGCAACACCGTTGGACTGGACGACGAAGGAGCTCCAAGACAATCAGAATCTAACAGCCGGCATCAGATTGTTACCCCGCCCATTGACCGGCTGCCACCTCGGCCGTTCACTACCTTCCAGGGGCACACGATTGGAGATAAACTCATTCCGGGCAAGATTACCTTCGTTGGCGACAACAGGTTCGCCTTCCGTATCAATGGCCGTGAGCTATCAATATCCTATATCCGGTTGCGTGACGGCTGTAAATGTCCGCGTTGCGTGGACGCCCATTCCAAGCAGCGAAACTTCCGACTTTCTGATATACCTCCCAATATCAAGGCTAAGGACCTCGAATGGATTGGTACGCACTTGGAGGTGACTTGGGAAAATGACATTCCTGGCTTCGATTCTTCTCACGTCTCAAGGTATACTCTAGAGGAAATCAAGTTGCCTCAGACGTTTCCAGATTCTTCCTCGACCGGCTCCCGAAGGAGGCGAATTTACTGGGATAAGGACGTCATGACAGAGTTTCAGCACTGGATTTCATACGAAGATTACATGAATAATGACACTATGTTTACAGTTGCCATGCGCTGGCTATCAACCACCGGTTTGATATTCTTGAAAGATATTCCTGACTCGCGGGAAATGGTTGAGAAGATCGCCACGCGCATTGGGCCTCTCCGAAACACCTTTTACGGTCCGACATGGGACGTCCGCAAAGTTCCAGAGGCTAAGAACGTCGCTTACACCAGCCAATTCCTCGGTTTCCACCAGGACCTCTTGTATATGAAAGAGCCCCCTGGCTACCAGCTTCTGCATTGTCTTCGCAATTCTTGCAACGGTGGTGAATCGCTGTTCGCAGATGCGTTCCATGTCGCTTCATCTATGTCGAGATCCCACCCGGAGGAATACGCGTTCCTGAACAAGACCAAACTCAGGTATGAGTACATGCACAAGGAGAATTCTTACAGCAGGTTTCACAAAGTCTTTCAGACGTCCCGATCTGATAACGTCGAGTCCTTGGCCCGTGTCAATTATTCACCTCCTTTTCAAGCTCCTCTCCTCGAACCTTCCCGTGCAACCTCTCGATCCGTCAAGCACTACCAGATGCAACTCAAATCCCTCAAGATTTTTACCAATCTCCTAGAGAAAGAGAAGAACATTTTTGAATTGAAGCTCGAACCCGGTCAATGTGTTATCTTCGATAATAATCGCATCCTCCATGCTCGCCGCGAGTTCAATACCAGCTCCGGCGAGAGATGGCTTGCTGGTGCTTATCTAGACGATGATGTGGTCATGTCACGTTTCCGTGTGTTGGCGAACTCCGACACCAGTAAGTCTTGGACGCAATATATGGACGTACGGGACGAGAGGTCGGCAGAACCGTGGAAGCGCAAGGCTGAAGCTAGGGTAGGCCTTTACCCAATTCGTGGCCCAATCGTGAGAATTCCATTAACAAATAATAGTATCAAAGAGTTCGACTAGCACGGGAACTGCGAGATCTCCACGAACGGATCCAAGAATGGAATGCTTCCTATGAAGTTTTATTTGCCTCAGACGGGTCAGAAGCCCAAGGAATCCCGACAAATCAAGGTCTACGAGCACGGGCACTGCGACCTCGCCAAGAAGAGAATGCTGTAGAGGCTTCACTTGCCTCAAGAGCCAAGGGAATTTCAAAAGCCAAAGAAACCCCGGCAACTCAAGAAACTTCGACATCCCAAGTAGCCCCAACAGTGCGAGAGCCCCCGACAATTGAAGAGATCCGGGCAGTCGTGGAACCTGCAACCGCCGAAAAACACCACTGAAGACCAGGAAGTCCCACAAGAGGCACAAAGCCAGGAACAGAAGCAATAAACGCAGATCCGCCATCCGTTCGCCAAATCTGACGCCAAGATCGAAGAAGAATACTATGACAGTCGGCAGCCATGAAGCTAAAGAAGGTAGGCCCAGGGCTGATCAATTCGAGGGCTCGTCGTGGCACGCTGAAGCAGACGACGTGAACCGGCCTTATGGACAGCGCATTTCTGCTGGATGGATACCATAAGTTTGTTAATATCTATGCCGTACCTGAATGAGCTACGTCGCGTCTACGAGGCGATACTAGTACTTTGATTGCATATTTCTGTGTATTTTATATGTACATGCCACACACCTGTTACGTAGAATACGGTACCCTAAAGCATAAATATGCTGATCCGTAAGTCATCGCTTGATTCAGTGAGATTTAAAAAACATGGGAACGGCCGAGAGCTAATCCACAAGTTGACCTCGCCGCTCCACGGGTCTTTTTCTATCTTTTGATTACTTGTTGACGGAGAAACTACCGAGGAAATCGGGATCGTTCTCGAGCTCCTCCTTGACCTATATCAATAGTCAGATGGTTAGCAATGGAACAAAGAACACTTGACAGGAGACAGTCACATACAATATCCAAGCCGCCAACCAGCTCCCCGCCAACCCAAAGCTGCGGGAAAGTCGGCCAGTCCGCAAACTCCTTCAGACCCTGTCGTACATCCTCATCGGCCAGGATGTTGAAGAACCCGTATTTAACACTCCGTTCACGCAGGATCCCAACCAGCTGCCGACTGAAACCACACTGCGGCGCGCTCGGAGTTCCCTTCATGAACAGCATGACAGGCGCAGCCTTGACCAGCTCCGCAAGACGGGCAAACAGCGCCTCCTTGCTCTGTTCGGCCGTCAATGGCGGCGCGCCACCAATAGTGCCAGGGGCGGCACCGGCCACAGGCGCCTGGGTAGCCGTCGTCGGCGCATTTGCATCCTCCCTCGGCACAGCCGCCAGTGCAGGTGGGATTGTGGATGCGGTGCCGTTGGCGGTTGAGCCCGCGCCTGCGCCAGCGTACCGCTCCACGGCATCGCGGACTCTCGTAGCCTCGCTGCCGGAGATTGTTTCGAGGACTTGGCCGTTGCGGAGGAGGACAACGTAGGGGACGGCGGTGACGTCGTATTCTTCGGAGATATCAGGGAGCTCTTCGGCATTGACGCTGATGAAGGAGACGGTGGGCGGCGTGGTGACGGGGTACTGGGAGGCGAGGGCGGAGAGCACGGCTCGCATTTGCGCGCAGGGGGCCGCCCATGGCGCGTGGAAGTAGAGGACGATTAGGGTGTTGGGTGGAAGCGAGGACAGGTGAGGGCCGAAGCTCTCCTCCGAGGTGATTTCGAGGAGCGTCGACATCGTGTTGTGCTGTGGTGGTGGTTTTCTTTCGAACTTCGATGTTGGATGTGGGGTGCTGGAGAGGTGGCGGGGGAAAACGGGACGACGCCGGACGAGGGGAGCTCGACGAGTCTAACGGCAGGCGATATAGGTAGGTGGGAGCGGCAGGGCTATAGCGAGGAATGGAAGAAACGAGTGCCAGCGAGGCGACAGGGATTGATGAATTGGTGGTCGATCGTCGAGCAGATGAATCAGAGAGGAAGACGAGAGGAGAAAGCGAAATGACGATTCGATCTGATAAGCCAAATTTCACGCTCCGGTCGCGGATACTGCAAAACTTTGGGTGCGGCCGTATTCCGAATACGCAGTTCTTACACCCGGGCAGCTTCCAGACAGCCGGGTTACAAATAGCTATCGCCACGTCCGCGGAACTGCAGATCTACCAACTGGAGATTACTGCTGATTTTATACGGCATTGGATGATTTCTGATCATCCGAGGCGAAATGGCTGAGTATCGTGGGGGTTCAGACAGGATCTGATAACGCATACGACCAATTACCGTATTTAAAAGTCCATCACGTGAACATATCAAAAAGAAAGTTGACCAATCCTTCAAGGTTCAAAGAGGTCAAAGAACTTCACAGCCACAAACAGCCACATTTGACCTGCCTAGCTTCCAGCCATGGGGAAGCGCAAGCATACAGACAATGGGTACTCAGACGACGCAGCCCCCGTCATGGCCGACTCAGGCTCACAAGGATTTGGTTTAGGCCAGACTCTCTCGCTGCTATCGAAACCGAACGAGCCCACGCGGGATGAAGGCAGTGTCCCCGCGGAGAAGACACCTAGCGCTGGTTCGCCAGTCAACACTGAGAACGGCTACGACGATGCGCGACCCGCGAAGAAGAAGCGTTTGAACGGCGAGAAGATCAAATACCCGACGCTCACCTATGTTGAAGGCCGGTCACTGCAATCGCCAATTCGCATCGCCGACCTTCAGAATTTGCTTCTATTCTGCTTTGCGGATGGAGTCGCGCCGCAATGGATTGCTGTGAAAAACACAACACGTATCCGGAAGGCTGTATTTCTGATGGTCCCCGGTCTGGAGCTGGGGATGCTGGATGGAACAGTTCCTCTGGATGGGTCTGAAGTGAAAGAGGGCGTCAAGGATACACAAGGCGATGATGAGACGGAAGATCCTAGGGCGGCCGACTTTGCTAGATGGAAGGAAGGACTGCCACCACAAGATCGGTCTCACCTGTTCAGCCCTCGCTCCCTATCCCGCAACGACATTCCAGAGCCTCTTCAGCCATTAGCTGACCTGTTTCCCCATGCCTGGCCGGTCCGGGCCCCCGGGGACACTAAGTATAACAAGGTTCACTCACCTTTGCAAGCTGTTCTATTGACACAGCTACCCAAGGACAAGGAGAAAAAGGCAAAAGGCCCGAAACCCCCTCGAGGTGACAAAACTTACAGCTCTAAGCGAACGCCCATCAACGCGTTTATTAGCCCTGCTGAAGAGCTGCGGGAAAACGAATATCCTCTACATCCCGCTCTTTGCCCCTCTGATGACCAGAAATCGGCACTAGAAGAGGCCCGTAAACGAGCGGGCCAATCTACGCAGGATGGGTGGGTAGACACCCTTGTAGAAAGCCTGGAGGCGGGCAATGTGCCCGAAGCTGAGATTCAGCAAGGAAGCATGACAGCAGGGCGTGACATACTAGCCCTAGACTGCGAGATGTGCATTACCGAAGGCGGTAATTCGGAGCTCACCCGCATCAGTCTGGTCCGCTGGGACGGCGAGGTTGTGCTTGATGAGCTCGTAAAGCCGGAGCTGCCTGTCATTGACTATCTGACCCGGTTCTCCGGAATCACAAAGGAGATGCTTGATCCTGTCACCACCACCCTTGCCGACATTCAACAAAAGCTCCTCACCATTATTACCCCACGCTCCATCCTCGTCGGCCACTCCCTCAATTCAGACCTCAATGCTCTCAAACTCACCCACCCTTTCATCGTCGACACCACATTCCTTTACCCTCACCCCCGCGGCCCACCCTTGAAAGCAAGCCTGAAATGGCTGACCCAGAAATACCTGGGCAAAGAAATCCAGAAGGGCACAACAGGCCACGACTCCATCGAAGACGCCCGCGCCGTGCTGGAACTCGTCAAGCAGAAATGCGAAAAGGGCGAGCACTGGGGCACGTCTGACGCCTCCAACGAAAGCATATTCAAACGCTTGAGCCGGCATAGTGCTCCAGGGAAGCCCAACTCCGCAGCTGGCGGGACAGGCCGCACTGGCGCCGTCATCGACTGGGGTAGCCCCGAACGCGGCCTGGGCGCCCAGGCAACCGTTGCAATCGGGTGCGCCGACGACGAAGCCGTGGTAAAGGGTATCTCGGCAGCCGTGAACGGTGACGAAAACAACATGTCCATTCCAGGCGAGGGCGTAGATTTCGCCTGGGCGCGAATGCGCGAGCTCGAGATCTACCGCGGCTGGTGCAACCGGATTCCCGACGCAAACAACGCGAACACATCTACAGCCATCGAGTCTGACTCATCAGAAGCACCCTCAAAGGCCCTCTCGAGCGTCGTCGCGCAGACTGTCTCGCGCATCAAAGAGGTATACGACTCTCTTCCCCCGTGCACGCTGTTCGTCGTGTACTCGGGCACCGGAGACCCGCGTGAAGTGACCCGGTTGCAGGCTATGCACAAGGTCTTCCGTGACGAGTACCAGTCCAAGAAGCCGTGGGATGAGTTGTCTGTCAAGTGGACGGATACGGAGGAGCAGGCGTTGAAGAAGGCTTGTGAGCGCGCGAGAGACGGGTGTGGGTTTATGTGTGTCAAATGAAACCGTGCTGACATTCAAGCGGCGTTTCTATATCTTGAGAGTTTTGGGCCTCGTTGCTATATATGTCAGTGATACCTACTACCTACGTATACCTACATGATTCGGCGCCATTTATTACATGTTGGGATACATTGAAGAGAGCAAATCGGTCTAAGGCTATGTCTATCAAGTGAGAGCCAAACAAGTTCCAAAAACGGCACAGAAAAAGCTAGCCAGTTTCCATATTCATTCAGATAGTAATACATAGTAGAAGTAGATTGTGCAGCATACTAACATAGCATGTGCATGAAGTACCTTACGGCCGGGCTAGGCAAGCTAGGGTCCGCTAGCGAGACTCCTCAGTATCCATAGCCTCTTCGCGCTGCATCGCCAGCTTGACCATATGATCCCTTGCGGCGGCCTGCGCCTTACGCCGTTCGTTGAGTTCGGCTTTTGTTTTCTTGCCCTCGTTAGCGTGGGGTGCGGTGATATCCAGGTCGGCGTTTTCCTTGCCTAGTTCCACGGCGAGCTGCGCGGATGGTTCTGTGGGTGTGTTTATGCTTGTGTTTTCTTGCGTCTTGTCACTGTTATCTAATGACTGCCGGTTTCGTGTCCTTGCGTTCGGCGAGGCGGCGCGTGAGCGGCTGCGAAGTCTGTTTGAACGGGTTGGGCGATTTTCCAAGGTCTTTTCCTGGTCGGTGGGTTTGGATTGTGTGGTTTGTTCATTTAGAGGGCTTGGATTAAAGATCCGGGTCGCATCTGTCTGGCTGATTGACTTGCGAGAAGGTCGGCCTCTCGGCTTTTTGTTGGGGTTCGAGTTTGCGCTTGAAGAGAGTCGCGGCCGTTTTGCGGCGGGTTCATCGGAAGAGAGCGATGGGGGTGTGTGGTATGTTGAGTGATTTACTTCGATCTGAAGGCGTGGAGACGGATCATGGGTTGACTCCATGGTCGTTTCGTGGTCTTTCAAAGGAATCTTAACGGACGACGGTATATCAATCTCTCTTTCTCCCAGGGAAAACTCAGCCAAATTGTCTTCGAGATCGTCATCGTCGAATGAATCCGGTACCGGCCTTCCGTGGACGCCGTTGTAGTGCTCTGGGAACGGAAAGGGTCGCTTTCTGCTGCCATGGTCACCCTGAAGGAGTCCCGGAGATCTAACTTCCGGAAGAGGTGCCTCAACAACCAAGGACTGCTGCGCCTGTCTTGCCGTTTGTTCGTCCATGAAACGGTTACGGAGCTTCAATGCCTCAATCTCCAGCTTCAGCTTCTCTATCTCGTCCGCTTTGGATTTCAGTTCCTTCAACACTGTTGTGACCATATTGAAATCAGTATTCGCAAGGTCTTGTTCGCTCGGGAAACGGTTCGGTCCATTTAGTTCGATGCGCATGGCGGTAAATGCGTTCTTCAGCTCATGCATTGTATCGTGTAGAGTGCTGACGGAGCTGGAGATATGATCGAGACTTTGTCCTTGCTGTTGAATATGGTGCTGAACGGAGATCTCTCGGCCGTCTATGTGGTTTGAGTCTGCTGGCACTAAGGCTCCTGGGCGCGCAGGTGATCCATCTATCCCCATAGCAGATGGTTTAGGTTTAGGACACATGAGTTCTTCGAGTAGGCCGTCCTTTTCGTTGAATATGGGATCCACCGAGCGCATAGTGACAATTTCGAGCAGTGAGACTTTTGGCAACTTCCAAAAAATATTCGGACTGATGGATTAGCTTCGAACGATGAGCTAGAATCCTCCCGCCGCTGAACTGAACTCACCCATTGTCTAAAGCGCATAGAAATCCAAGTTTCTGGTGGCACAGTTTACACCCAATCTCCTGGATGATGCGTCCTCGTATTAAGCTCTGGTCGGATGACTGCGGAATCCGCTTCTTCTCGGAAGAGATTGAGATACGCTGGATTTGAAAGCTCAACCATCCAGAGACAACTGAATATGAAGTCGACAGCTTCAGCCACTCGTTCTCGAGGACGGCCAGAGAGCTCAAACACCGCGAGCACTGGCAAAGAACGGCTGGGCGAGTGATCTTGGAGAGATCCATGGCTTCAGATTTCGTAGAGTTCATATTGAAGCACAAGGAGGTCGACGGTCTGGTGTGCGCCACCTGTCCGGGAAGACATGAGAACACTCGTTAGATGTCTGCAAAGATGGATTCCAGAAAGTCTGGACTGCTGACTCAGCTCTCCACCTTGGCTGCTCCGACCTATCGATAAGCTTAGGCTCTGGCCGTCGTGGCTTTAGCCGGACTTGGCCTAGGGTACTCTCCGAGTCCAATGTAGATAGCGCTAACCATAAAGGGCAGGTCATTCTCTGGCCGACTTCAAACCAAGGTTGTGAATTGTTCCTGAACAGGTCCCATGTACTTTGAACGCCGTCTGGGAGGGTTCTTACGAGGATGTGACCGTCGCAGACAAAATTGTATAGGATAATCTAGCTCTTGGGAATGAATAGGTGTCACGGTCTCTTGTTTATTGTTATCTCTCCCTGGAGTAAATCGCGGAGAACCTCCGGCGTTACGTCGCAGATTAAACCGGGCCGGCTACCCCACATCGTTCTCCAACCTTTCAAAGAGATTCAGAATTTCAGACGGTAGACCTAATCCACCAATTCTTTCTTTGTCTCAAGAAGCATATGTCTGAACCTGAAGCCGAATGCAACGCTTCGTCAGGCCTACTCTTCAATTTCCACGCTTCTTGCAATCGATTGCACCCGTCCCACGAGTTAGGTGCGGCTTGAGACCTATTGCGAATATGGCGACATCAAATGCAGTAAATGGCAAGCAGACAACATGGCATGGCGCCGGAGCAGCCGAGTTTGACCTGAGAAGTGAGTTGCTAACAGGAACCATCTTTGGCTGTAACCAGACTAACCAGACTAAACTTCTGCGACTTAGGTGACACTATGACCAAGCCGACGCCGTCCATGCTTGAAGCGATCTGCCAAACTACACTGTTAGACGATGTTTTCGAAGAAGACCCCGTCACAAATGACTTGCAGGATTACGTTGCGAAGCGCACCAACCATGAGGCTGCGCTGTTGGTCATGTCGGGCACAATGGGCAACCAGGTCGCAATTCGAACCCACCTGACCGAGCCTCCGTACTCTGTCGTCTGCGATTACCGTTCTCACATCATCTGCTACGAGGCGGGAGGCGTCAGCGCTTGGACCGGAGCCACAGTCATACCGATCGTGCCCAAGAACAACACTTATCTCACGCTTGAAGACGTCAAAAAGAAAGTGGTCATCAGCGACAACGTCCACACGTGCCCCACCAAGCTCATCAGCCTTGAGAACACATTAGACGGAATGATCATGCCACTCGAGGAAGCCAGAAGGATTACCGAATGGGCACACGCAAATGGAATTAAGGTACACCTTGACGGTGCTCGATTGTGGGAGGCCATTGTCTCGGGTGCAGGAAGCTTGCCAGAATACACCAGCCTCTTTGACAGTATAAGCTTGTGTTTCTCAAAAGGTCTAGGCGCCCCTATTGGCAGCATAATTGTTGGCTCGAACCCGTTCATCAAAAAGGCGCGCTGGTTCCGCAAGTCAATAGGAGGTGGCACCCGCCAATCCGGAGTGCTAGCTGCAGCCGCACGGGTCGCCCTCGACGAGACATTCGGATTGGATCCCAGTGGCCAGGATGGAAAGCTGCGGGAGACCCATGTCAAGGCGAAGCGAGTTGCAGATATGTGGACGAACCGTGGCGGGAAGCTAGCCTGCCCGGTTCATACCAACATGGTGTGGTTGGACATCGAGGCATCCGGGCTTGGGCCGAACGACCTAGCGGAGACCGGAAAACAGAAGGGACTGAAGCTTCTGGGGAACAGGATTGTGATTCATTACCGTAAGTTTAGGCATGACAGTCCTAGGAAAGCAGATTCTAACTTCTCGCAGAGGTATCAGATGATGCTATCGACCGCCTCGAGCGGGTGTTTGACTTGGCACTGAAAGGCCAGCACCAACAGAGTACTGACACCAGTAAGCCTTATGGGAGCCGGTAAATGTGATGCCATCACTCAAATCTGGTAGTTTAAATAGAGGTACCTGCTTGAAAGACACGTAGATATGCAGTCTAAAATACGGAATATCCCCATTCCTGCAGGTGCTGTGGGAATGGGCTCCAAGTCGCCGTCACGGTGTACTGCGCGCACCCAGGTAAAATACGCCGTCGACTTTCATACAGAGTATGGCACGGGACAATTCTCTCCGCTCGAGGTCGAACAAAGAATGCAAGGATCCATGGGCGACTCCCGTGACTGGCGATGCTTGACGCTTGAGCCCCATCGGACTCACGACGTCATTGGCTGAGGAGCCGCAGAGTTGCCTCAGGAACAGATATTGATGCCTGGTTTCTGCCTTGGGCTTTCTACGATGTCCCATAAAGCTGAGCCATCTCCCGCATCTTCGCTGCGCTTCCTTGGACGTCGGACTCGAGGACTCGAACCGGTGGTTACCTAGTCTCTTGTCTCGTTCCCATTGCCAACTACGCCTGCCAAGCAACCCATCTCTCGAGCAGCCTTGCTGGGTTGTTTTCATGGCTGAGGCGGATTTGTCAACTGTGTACGCTCTTGCTCTATCTTGTGTTGATTTGAGAAGCGCCGTACAAACTAACAAGCAACAACTCACTATAGAAATAGTCGCTTTCCTCCCTGAACCTTCGCGTACACTTTCTTCATCGTCGCTCCCTTGTTTTATTTCATCTCGCTGCGGAAAAAGAAATATTGTCCGGAAAATTAGCAAGCATCGCAATCGTTTGATTCATCGACTTCACGAACCGCTCTCCTTTTCCTGAACAAATCCAGTCATATCCAACTTGAATATACTTGCCTCTACGTTCGCCATCTTCCGCTTCGGTTCCACCACGGGTCCTTCTAGTTACACTGGCTGAGAACTTGGACGTACCTCGAGATTGCCCGCAGGAAACTCTCAACTTCGAGCTGAACCAATCGCAGTCCGTACATTCTTGCCTTATTCTCAAGGTAAAGTGACCCGCCGTCAAACATCAGGGCGTTATCGGTCTTGGTATTTAGGTCCCCAACACTGAAGTGCGACCAGATCTATGATATGGACCACCTCTAGTGTCGCAGGGACGATCAGGCTTGACTTGTGGCGTTCAATGTCCATATCCCACTATATTGGACCTCGATCTCGAGTGAACTCGTCAACTCCGCATCACATATCATTGCAGCATGGAGGCAACACAAGAATCAACCCAACCGTACACGGACCCTCGGCGCGGCGGACTAAATAATTCTGGTTTGCTTGAGGAAGACTTGTCAGATGTCGTCTGTATCCTCCACCCTAGCTCTCCTCAGGCTCTCGATGCAGTGGCCGCTACAGCTCGCGTCGCGCCTTGGCATATTCTGCAAAAGGACGTACTGGAGTATGGAGTACCCAGCACTGCGGCCCTAGACATCGCGCTGAGATTGTCTTCCAATGTGAATGACCCAGCCCGTGGATTCTGCTTTGGGCGTACCCTTGGTCGCTCCGATATTCTTCTTTGTGCGGACAATGTGTCCAAGCGTATTTCCAACACCCACTTCCGCATCTACATCACAAACGACTCCATTCTCATGCTCGAGGATGTCTCTACCAACGGCACTATTGTAGACAACTGCCGCCTCAAAAAGCGAGAGAAAGAGAACAGCCGAATGTTAACGAACGGCTCCGTTATCTCCGTCGTCAATGGTGACTATTCAACAAACGAGGTCAAGTTTGTGGTCCGTTTGCCCAATAGGGAAGGGTTTACAGACATTTATAACCAGAACCTTCAAACTCACCTTGGTAAACTTCATGGCGGCCGCCCTGGCACTGTGCAACAAGGGAGACGTCAGCCGTCGGGCCTTAGCATCCCGTCATGGAATAGTCATGGAATGCATTGGTCTGGTGGTCCCACTTACAATGTCACTGGACAGATCGGAAAGGGTGCATTTGCCGTGGTTTATAAGCTGGCTACAAGACAACATGGGGCTGTGTATGCGGCCAAGGAACTCGACAAACGCCGCTTCATGAAAAATGGTATCTTGGATCAAAAGGTTGACAACGAGTTGAAGATCATGAAGGATCTAAAACATGTAAGCAAATTGGATCATAGTGTGCATTGCACTCGGCTAATATTTCTCAACAGCCGAACATCGTCCAATACATTGACCACCATGAGCATGACCGTTGGATCTATATCATCATGGAGTATGTCCCTTGCGGCGAGCTATCGACGTATCTACACAACATGGTCAACATTCCCGAGGACATGGTAAAGACAATAGCGCGACAAGTACTCCACGCGCTGAAATACCTTCACAAGCGCAGAATTACCCATCGCGACATCAAGCCAGACAATATCTTGATTGCATCTCACGAGCCTTTGAAGGTGAAGCTCTCGGACTTCGGCTTGTCCAAGGTTACCCAAGAGGAGACGTTTCTTAAAACCTTCTGCGGAACCCTCCTCTATTGCGCTCCAGAAGTCTACCCCGAGTACGACATGTACCGACGCGGCGAGGTGAGAAAGCGGCGCAGGGCCGGTGATCCGTAAGTCTTGTTATCTCTCCTAGTTGAAACCTTTCTGACCAAACCTAGAGCACCAAAAACCTCCCCGTATGATCAATCCGTCGATATGTACTCGCTAGGTGCTGTCCTTTTCCATCTCCTTGCGGGAATCCCTCCGTACACCGGCCGAGGCGATGATCGAGGAGCACAGATGCTGCGAACAATCATGACAACGGAGCCGGACTTCGATGTACTCCGCACCGCAGGCGTCTCAGAAGCGGGAGTTGACTTGGTATCTAAGCTACTCAACCGCGACCCTCTGCTTCGCCCTAAAGAGCGCGAATGCCTCAAACATCCTTGGCTAGTTGATGTTCCTGATATCGACGTATATGAGGACGACGGCTTGGAATCTGATTATTCAGATGGTCTTTCTGCCATCGGTGAAGTCGCGGAGGATGATTTGGATGCATCTCAGCTTTCCTTAGAGGAAAACCTGGATTTCGAGGAAGAGCCCGCAGAAAATGGCAGTGATTTGGCCCAGTCAAAACGACCAAGGATTGATTCTCCCCCTGCAGATATCCGTTACCCGTCGCTTCCCAGTCTTGAGGTCTCTCAGCATCCGCAGCAACCATCCCAGGTCACTCCCAGGCGCCTTTTTGGAGAAATAACTTCGTCAGCTTTACGCAGTTCCCATGCCTTGGGCGACAACATGGATGCAATCCAGGATGGCAGTCACAGCGTCCAGGATTTCATTTCTTCAGCCGGTGAGTCCATGATCAGTTATGGCAACAGCCTCAACTCCGTCCTATCTCTTCCGGAAAACCCCGTTGCTGGATCGGCACTTAGCTTACTGGGCGCTGAGAATCTCGTCCGGCAGCTCAACATGAACTCGTGGCACCCTGGCACTTCCAGAAACCCTCTCCTCAGTACCGAGACGGCAAGTCCTCAACCCAATGATGGTGATGGACTTGTCGACGATCAAGTTCAGGAAGAAATTCCGCACGCCGGTTCTCTTACCACCCCCAAAGCGGCCAAATTCAGTCGACGGATCGAGTTGCAGTTGCCGGACACTGCGAGCGAACGCTCTAGCTCGGATGATAGTAATATACGAATTGCAGGTGGCCGATCTAGGAACTCCACGCGCGAACCGGGCGAGATTTTCGACATTGAACTTGCTAATACCATTGACGCCAAAACTGGACTGGCAATCCCTGACGATGCTGAATCAAAGGGTTTCGAACCACCTGCAGACCCTTCACAAGCTGGAGGGCCTGTAGCAACACCAAGACCTCTGCCGATACCTGGCAAGTCACGACCCCTACTAGGAAAACTGACTACGTTACCCGGTTCTATCTTCGATCTCACCCTCCGACTTGAGAATCGAATGACGTCTTGGGGCCGTGGCCCTCTAGCAAGTATCTGTTATCCTGATCCTTTCGATGCTCGCATACCTGCCTACGCTCTTGAAGTTACCTTTTGGGCTCCTAGGCTTGAGGAGCGTGTCGCCTCCGGGCAGGATTGGATGACCATCCCAGGGACAACGGCGCAACTTTCGACAAAAACGCGTAGATGCATCTGGGTGAACGACGTTGAACTAAAGAAGGGTCCAGAAGGGAACCTTCATTTCGGCAGGCTATATACCGGTGACATCATTACGGTTTATCGACATCGCAATAAGTTCCTAAAATTCAAATGCGAGTTCTACCACGGAGACAGCGCGCGCGAGCGACCGGAGCACGAGAAGGGTTTTGCAGTGCGCAAAGTTCTGACGTCCAAGAACGGGGCAGTGAACCAGCAACCGGTGCGGCGAAACCCTACCGCGAAGAAATAATGTCGTTCAACGAGGTCTTGGGAAGGGACTTGGGGCAATCTAATCTGGCGTCTGGGCTTTGTTCACATCTTGGGTCAAGAATGTAGGTATCGGTGCCTTGGCTTGCTGTCTCGTTTTTGGAGATCTCCGCCTCGATAACGCAAGAAAAAAAATGGAAAAGAGAAACTACGAAGAAAGAGACGGCTCGGCAGAGCTAATTGTATCTTTACCCATCTACTTTATCTAACTAGAATAATGCCAGTAATATCAATGACATGTGTGTTGATGGTTACCGCTTCTCCTAAAATTCTGGGTGTAGTGCATGTGACTTACCGGTATAACGGCGTCAACTTACTCAAGGTCAACCACCACGACGACCGGCAGAGGTCTCCTCGCCGTGAGACCATGTGGTGCCTCATTTTCCCGAGCTTTTCTAGGTCGACATGCAATCATTGATAACATGCCTGATATATTTTCTCTGTTTCTCATAACTTGGACTTGGACTGCCGAGTTAGCCAGACTACGGGCTCAATCCCTTAGCAATAAGTCAGCCCACGATGAAAAAGCTCGACAGATGATTTAAGTCATGGTTGTGGACCGTCGACTTCGTCCCTGGGCTGGACCCTGAGACCCTGACCCGCTGGTTCCCCGATCTCCATCTCCATCGACGGAAGCGGGATGCATCCGTTCGCGGCAAGCTCTCCAGATCCCACCGGCGACTTTTCTTGCTTCAACCGCTGGGTTCCTTTCTTTTCCATTGCGATCATGATGGGATTCTGCGAGGCTCTATTGCTTACTGGCCATCAGCTGTTTTCGCAAGGGTAGCTTTGTTTCTGAGGGTTCCGTGGTCTTGCCAGGTACCATTGACTTGGTGCTTCATGAGAATTACCACTCTATCGCATCTCGCTACATTTCCTATACGACCTCAATAATCTATATGCCATTTTCTATTGATTGGACACAATATCTATCCTTCAGAGGGGCCATTCCTTCGCGATAAAGGCTCTATTGGGTTGGCTTGAATGCCGCGGCTCCTTCCTACCTTGGATATCGCCCTTGATTCCCGCCATGTCGCTGCCTCGATCGCCCTCCCCACGCCCAGGGAGTGGCTGGCTAAGTCCCAGCTCGACCCTAGGCAGTGGCAGATCAACACCTTTCAACAGCTTCTACCCACCTGCTCTGTCGGATCCATGGCTAGCTGCCAAAGCGAAGAGTGACGAAGTCCGCGGCTACCCATCTTTTTCTACACCGAACAAAGGGTTCTTCTCGCGGTCAAAACGGCGAATCATTGCGACGCTTCCAGGGTTCAGAATGCGGTCTACGTCTCCAAAGATATATGCTGAGAAAGATGGCGTTATATATGGGAGTGGCCGGGGCTGGCGCTCGTTATGGCTCGGGAGGACAACTCTGCGACGTAGGCGATCACGGTTCTTTTTGGCTATGCTGCTCTTGGCTCTTGGGTACCTCTTCTTCTGGACGTGTAAGTTGCACATGTTTCAAGCTTGCAGGGCGACTAGGTGCTCACCCTAGATTTTATCTAGTCTTCGTCGAAGCTTTCAGGCGCTCTATCTTCGGCGGCGGACGAAAGTTTGTGATAATCTTGCAATCGAACACCGAGGGCGGAGTCATGGAGTGGAAAGGGGCAAGGGAATGGGCTACCGAGCGTAACAGCATTCTGAATAAGAAGGAGTATGCCAAACGATGGGGATACAATTTGGAGATCGTTAACATGTTGGCGAAGAAACGCTATTCACATGAATGGCGCGAAGGATGGGAGAAAGTCGATATTCTCCGCGAGACTATGCGGAAATATCCCAACGCAGAATGGTATGTTGCTTGTGACGTCTATGACTGGCAATTTCTAACGGTCTACAGGTTCTGGTGGCTGGACCTCACCACCTATATTATGGAACCTTCGTATTCCCTTCAAGGCCACTTGTTCGACCGTCTTGAGGAGGTAGTTTACCGCGATATTAACGAGTACAACCCGTTGAACATTACCCACCCACCAATTCAACCGTATTTCGACGAGATATCTCGTTCGGCAAATGGCGATGATGACCCGTCTTCAATCCAAGTTTTACTCTCGCAAGATTGCGGAGGCTTTAATCTAGGCTCATTCTTTGTTCATCGATCCTTATTCACAGAGCGGCTGTTAGACACCTGGTGGGACCCTATAATGTACGAGCAGAAGCACATGGAGTGGGAGCACAAGGAGCAGGACGCCTTCGAGTACCTTTATACAAACCAACCCTGGGTACGCAGCAGTGTCGCCTTCGTTCCTCAGCGATACATCAACTCCTTTCCTCCTGGAGCTTGCGGAGATTCGCTCGATCCAAAATTCCATTATACGGAGGGTGGGCGAGATTTCGTGGTCAACATGGCCGGCTGCGATTTTGGCCGCGACTGTTGGAACGAGATGTACCAGTACCGGGAATACAGCAAGTGGCTGAACAGAACGAGATGGCAACGTCTTCGGTCCTGGTACCTTGACATGTATCGTGCTCTCTTTGGAGATTAGATGGGCCCGGATTTACTGGTGATTCGATGCAGCAGTAATGTCACTGTGCACTGCTTTTGCTATATTTATTCGGAATTGCATTCAGGAAGGTGTTCATTGGCATGGTTGTCGGAACTCAGGTATACTTAGATATGGCTCTCTACATTGTACAAGATTATGGACATAAGACAATAGCAACAACTGATGAGTTTTCCACTTGACAATCGAGTAGCGTGGTATGCATCTATATAAGTCACGTGGCTCTCGGATCCATGATAGACCTGCACTACCAGCTCCCCAAGCCCGCCGTATCCTCCACCGCCAAGCAGCCACCCAATCAGAATGCTCCAATTGCATTCATCCCCATCACCACCGAGCATCCGGCAGAAGCCTCAGCGATAGCCAGCTTAACGACAAGCCAAAGCATTGAAGCTCCTACGCCCCTTTACCACCTCCCGAACCCAATTCCTCGTCATCCATACTACACCGGAACCAGCCAAAATGCCCACCCCCGAGTCCGCCGCCTTCCTCGCCAAGAAGCCCACCGTCCCCCCGACCTACGAGGGCGTCGACTTCGAAGACAACGTCGCCGTGCACAATGCCCGCGACGCCATTATCCGCGAGCAGTGGGTGCGCAGCATGATGAGCAGACTCGTCGGCGAGGAGCTGGGCAAGTGCTATGCGCGCGAGGGCGTGAATCACCTGGAGAAGTGTGGGAAGTTGAGGGGTACGTGCACGCCTTTTTGGTTCGAGAGTGGTCGGAATGGCTTTGGGGCTAATGTGCGCATCTACAGAGAAGTACTTTGAGCTTCTGAGCGAGAGGAAGGTCAAGGGTTACATTTTCGAGGAGAAGAACTACTTTGCGTCGAAGTCGACGTAAGAGCAGAGCGGCCGGGGATATCTATACCTACGGGGTTTGGGACGCTGGATAGACGGAGGACGAATATCTAGGTCTATTTGACGAGAACAGGCGGGGGTGATAGGGCCGAGAAGACGGTCCGGTTTTTACCTTTTTTTTTTCTCTCTCCTTTGTGTGCATTATTTCAATGACATTGTGATTTTAGCAGTTGATGTACTATCAATGTACCCTTTTTCGTCTTCTTTCTTTCGGTCTATGGATAGCTTGCTTTGGGACGGGACTACTGGATGATGCTCATGTTGAACTGAAAGGCAGACTATGTATGGTTCGAGAGATTTGTTCCGGTACAGCTAGCCTGTGTGGTGCTGACAATCATATAGATATTCATATATCCAAACAGAACATCGCTATATGGACCGCCAATGGTTCAGACCAAAGTACAAAGTGGAACATAGATAGACTCGAATATCAATAGTAAGCACTGTCGGTGCGCTCAGGAAAAGCCCCAGGTGTATGCGTATCTCTCGCAACCGGGCTTTCAACATCACTGTCCTCAATATCACTCCCGGGACTCAGTTCAAGCTCCGTAGGCGGGGCACGCATCCGGGACAGATGCTCCTCGTCTAGAGAAGGAAGAGCATACGGAGGCTGAGGCGGGAGGACATCGCGCCCTGAGGGCAGGTTGGTGACGTAGTCCGCTGAGGAGGGGATCAATTGCGAGTTTATCTGGTTATGTTAGCAAAAAATCACGAAGACCTGGGGAAATAGGCTTACCGTATCATTCGTCCTTACCCACTTCGTCTCTAGCATTTCAAGCACGCGCACTTCTTCTTCTCGACCAGCATTATCTCCAGGCCCTAGCTCCCCCTTCTCCACGCGCTCGCCCCCCGCACTCTTCTCCATCTTGCGCTCCTCGCGCCGCTCCCGGAAGCCCAGCTTCAACTTCGACAGACCCCTGCTCTTCGTCGAACCCTCCTCTGTAGATGCGGACCCCGGGTTGCGTAGTCCCAGCGCTCCTTTCGCCGCTCGGAGCCATGCGATTCCCTCCCCGATCTTCCCTGCGAGCTCCGCGTCAACCCCGAAGAACCGACATGCTCTAGCGCGTGCAACTAGACCCAGAACACGGACGTATTTGACGATGTCCTCGTCAACGCCAGCTTTCCGGCCCTCCGCGGCTACAGAGCCCAGCCCGGTAGCAGCTTGCTCGGCGTATTCCGCGGCGCGAATACACAGGCGCGCAAAGAGATGCGCGCGGACCTTGGGGATCTCCGGTGCGCGAACCATCCAGTCTTTATCGTTCGGGTTCCGGGCTTGGATGCACGTCACGACGTAAGAGTCATCTTTTAACACAGTGAGCAGAGTCGCTTCTGCCAATGCGAGTGACGAAAGTGCCGCCTGCGTTTCAGGCGCTACATCGGGCGCCGCAGCTGTTTCCAGCCCAGGCGTGAAGTATGGTGACGTATATAGAAATGAGTGTATGGTGCTCGCTTGAAGGAGATGCTTGGTTGCTGTTTGAACGGCCGCGGTGCGCTGCTCCGCACTGGGTGTTGACGCGGCATAGAGTGTGCGAGTGACGCCAGTCCGTGCGAGAGAAGATAGAACATAGCCTAATGTCGTGAGTGTAAAAGCAAGTTCATACTGAATTCCTGATCCGCGGGTACGGCTTGTAGAAGGGCGGGGCAGAGAGCTTGAAGCGAGAGTTGCGCGCCATTCAGGCTCCAGCTCGGCGCGCTGCGTTACTTCAATTTCTTCGGGGTGAGGGAAGGTCGGCGATGTCGTCGTAACATCTGGCTTTCCATTGTTAAGTCCCTGGGCTAATGCGGCGAGGTACGGGATGTAGTTGTTGAGTGCGGAGAGGACGGAGGTTAGGTGGGAGTCGCGCTGGGGGCCGCGGGGTAGGCGGTTGTGGGCCTTGAGCGCAAGGCGGAGGGCATGTCGGGCTGTAGTTGCAGATTGTGGCAGAGATGGATGCGTGCGAGATGAGAGGACGGTCTGGAAGGCGAGGTGGGAGGTTGTTGGAAGGTCAAAGGGGTAGACCATGATGACGAGTTGTAGTCGTGGTTGTTGCAGAGGGGAAGTACTTTAGTTACGGGGGCGCAGTTGGATCTTGATGTCACCGCCAGGCCGCAGCCAAGAAGCGCACGTTCGTCTCGATTTGAATTGAATATGCTTATTTATGCATTTCGCATTGTAGACATGATACAGTCCTGTCTAGAGGTTCTCTGTAGCTTGACATATGCTCATGCTTATCCTCAGTCTTCCATCCCTCCAGTTATGTCCCCCTAACGAGCAGCGCTACCAATTCGGGATGACATACTCTTTCCTCTGTCTTCTAGAGTATTCATTTTGATGAATATTTGCCGAAGTGCTCGTGGGTAAAATTCTGGTTTCGCCCTCCTGGGGTGGTTGTAGCCGTACTATGAAGCCCAGCGGACCGTACGCACCCACGCATTGGAGTATACTCGAACGAATCTCGGTATTAGATTAGGTGAGAAGTCGACCTGCGCTTCTCGTGGTCCATAGCCGTGTCGCATTTGTCTTGAAGAGCTTTCCAGGAAAAGAGAGCTCGCTGACCAATAAATCACACCTCCATGCCTTCGTTATCGGATAGGTTGCTCGGAGCACTGCTGACACCAGATGAGTCGCTGTCAGCCATATACGGCGCTCGCGACTGCATTTGCGAGCTCCAGTCCTGGATGGTAGGAGCACCGCCCTCGATGATTACCGGATGCTCTTCGGCATTCTTTCCAAGTACTGTACCGGCGTATCGAGACTCCTCTCCTGTCTTACTGTGCTTTTTCTTCAGCGAAGTAAGGTAGTCCTCCTTCTCGAGCGAATCGGCATCGACAACGTCGCCTTCGCTGGGCACAAATCCCGCAATACGTCGAATCTCACGGTTTGCAGGGCCCGTGAACCACGAAAGAAATCCTTCCAGCCCCCGTATATCTTCCTCCCCGTCCCACCATTCTTCCCACTCTCGCAGCTGTGGTCGCAATGCACCCGCATCTTGTAACGCTTGATAGACGTCCTCTAACACAGGTACGGGGTCGTGTGGATGGGCGTTTGCAGCGTGGTCTGCGGTTGATGATGCGAGTAGCATTATGTATCGCGCGGTAAGGTCTGCGATGGTATCAAGAACTGAAGGACGCGTAGAGTGGAAGCCGGCTGCGCGTAGAATCTGGATTATCGGCGGGCGGAGAAGAGCATTGTGAAGATTCGCGCCAGACATGGTGAGAAGGGCTCAGTAGCCCGTAATCAGCTGGGACAATTAAGTGGCCGAATTTGGAGACAGTATTATCCTCGAGAAAGCTACTGAGAGGGGTGAAGGGCTGAGAGTGTGACTGGAGGTGATTTGTGTTAAGTGAAGAAAGCGGTCCCAAGTCCGGGAGGATTAACCTGCCATCTGCCGCCTGGTCCAACTCCTCGACAACTCACACCTCACCACTTACTCGAACAATTTTCTAAATGAAAGCAGGCTGACTGCGCTTGTAGTCATCCGATCAATATGTCTGACCCCCCAAGGCCGTCTATTAAGCTCACTTTCGGCAAGAAGAAAACCGAACCTGCGCCGCAAAGCCAGCCAGCGCCTGCTTCAGCCTCAGATCAACGTCCACCACCCCCTCAGCGCAAACTTACTCTCAAGATCGCCCGAAAACCAACCGAAGATGAACCACAAGATAAGCCAAAGAAGCCAAAGATCACAATCAAGAAGAAGAAGCGGCCAGCAGATGAGGCTGTTCCGGAAGAGCCTCCCGCAGCCGGCGCGTCACAAGCAACCGGACCCAAGCGGCTGAAGCTGAACCCATCCAAGAAACCCGGACTACAGTCGATTCGAATCAAAAACAAGGGTCTCGTGCCGAACAGGCCCACCGGTGTTGGCTATGACTCGGAAGCGTCCGATACGGAAATCGACCCTGCCATCGAAGAACAGTTTATTCTGCGCATGCTACCCGGCGAGGACTGCGAGTATCTTCGTCGCGCGATCAACGAACGCCGATTTGACCGATCCGAGTTTTGCTTCAAACCGTTGAGCCGCGAGGGCCGACGAGCCATTCTGAAGATTCGGGACAAGCAGTATGCTGCGGCATTGGTGGACTTGCCTTGCATTATTGAGGGAATGAAAAGTTGGGATCGGAGGGGATGGTACAAATCCGCAGATATATGTCAGATGCTCTTGGTCCTAGGACTCGTCAATACGGAAACCGAGGCCTTGGATTATCCTCTCCCTCCTGAGGTTCAACGCCTGGATAACATGACGTTGCAGTACCCTCATGGTCTCGCGCCTCCTCTACGATGGGTGAGAAAGCGACGCTTCCGGGACCGCATCAGTACCCGCACCATTGAGCAGGTCGAGAAATCTGTTGAGGACTTGATCGCTCAGGATGACGCTGCCGTTGACACTCGTTATGAGCTAGTGGACAAGACATCGCTGGATCGTGCAGAGGGACTCGTGCAAAGCGGAGAATATGACGAGTACGAGTACGACGATGAGCAAGACGCAGAGGGCGAGGTGGAAGAAGCCATGGACGATGTCGACGGCATGTTTGAAGACCTCGAGGACACACTTGCTGCTGAGATGGAGGCCGCCCTGGCAGCTGGGGCAGACGGCACATCTTTCGAGGCCGAGGTTGTCGAGACACCCGTTACACCTGGGGTTTACCAAGCTGGTACACCCATGGCCACCAAGCCCTCAACCCCAGTACCAGAAGACACGGGCGCAGACACGTCGGGAGACGAAAGCGACGCCTCCGGCGAAGAAGAATCACCTGAAGACGAGCTTGATGAAGAGCAACTGGAGCAACAACGGCAAATACAGCAGTCGCGTGAAGAGATTGCGGAATTGGAGGCCCTCATTCGCACCGAGACAGCCAAGTGGGAGACGATGAACAACCAGATCCTCAAGGGCAAGCTCGCCAAGCGCATCCACGACCTGAAGACAGAAGTATCGCTCAAGAAGGTCTCGATTGGAGAAGGCGACGACGCCGACAGCTGAGTTACTGGAACCTGCATGTAGTTTTACTTGATACCCAATACGATTTATGTCTAAACTTCATTAGAAATGTTCATAACTGTACAATATCCCGACTTTCCCACAACCCATCAACCATACACCCCCTTCACCTCCCAACAACCGGCTCCCCCGTCTCCTCCTGCACCACCTCCTTAGGATGCAACTCCCGATCCTGCCTCAATTTCCTCTCCCGCACCTTCTCCCTCTCAACAGCCTCCCCCCCACCCACCCCATCATCCACCGGCGGCTCCGGCGACCGCCCAACCCGATCCCCCAATATCTTCTGATGCTCCTCCGCCTTCCGATCCAGATCCTGCAGGTTACTCACGCCCTCGCCGCGAGCAGGCGCCCCGGGGCCCTGCGGACTCCCCACAGCCCCGGCATGAGCCCCCGCCTGGATCCTGTGTCTAGAATGCCCCTCCACAGCGTGCGCAATGTCCCCCTCGCTCGGCTGCTGCTCGACCCCGTACTCCGTGTCGACGTCGCTGTGCGCGTGCAGGGATTTGCCCGATTCCTCTTTTGCCTTTTGGGCGGACGAGAGGGTTGTGGCGGTTGAGGGGGTTGAGGAGGCGCCGCGGGTTATCGTGGCGGGGGCGGTGCCGTATTCGTGGTGGTGAGCGCGTTGCTCGGTTGCGTGGGATTCGGAGGGGTTGTGTGTGACTGGGTTTGAGGGTTGTGTGTAGGCGGATTGTTTGGGGGGTTGGGAGGGTTGGGATGTTGTTGACATGGTGGTTGGTTGTGTTGTAGCTTTGTTTGTGAGAAATGGCTATGTTGGGTAGGTAGGTAACTTGATTTTTGGCCTCGGCTTCAGTGTCAATGTGATAGTAGATGGCTTGCGTATCTGCTCCGATGATGCTCGGTCGTGGTGGTTTATATGGCTGATGAGGGCATGACGTCAAGAGGCCTCAGTCAGGGCTACGGGGATCACCGCGGCGTGGGGACTCCGGGGTTTTGGTAGGGAGGAAGAGTGAAGTCATATTAGGGACATTATCTTTTGTTGCTCGCTGTTGGTAATTCTTATCTTTCATCTCTTGCTTCTCCTGCATCAAGTTACAGAGCTGAGATTCTTCCATTTACATGTCTACATCATGGCGCATATCGGGCTATATACTCCGCTCCCCATAACCCGTCAACTATGGTAGGTAGCTCTACCTCTCGAAGAACTCCTTCAGGATGGAATTAATCTCATCTCGTGCCTCCAATTGTACCCAATGCCCTGCTGTACTTACTCTCCGAAACGTCAGGTCATTCGCGACTTGCTTCATCTGTTCTTCCACTCCCGGTAACTCGAGCTTGGTTTGCTGCGGACAGACTATAAGCATGGGCATTGAGAGGACCGGGTCGAGGTTTGCTTGGATCTCATCTTGCTCATTGATATTTCCTACCAGGGCCTGATACCATCTGAGTGCTGAGGCATGGCTCTTTCGCATGATGGCCTGGTGGGTTTGACGTTCAACTTCAGTGACATATCCAGCTTCAGGGCCCTTGCGGTCTTGAAGAAGCCATTTCTCCATGGCGCCTGTCGGGCCGACGTGCTCTACCCACAGACTTGGGTCTGCCGGATAGAAGAGGGTGAAGAATGACTCAGAGTGCTGATCAAGAATCCCACCGGCATCATCCCTAGTAAAGAACTCCAAATATCCAAACCGCTCGAAGCCCAGAAACTGTTTTGTTAGGGCATTCACGGCTGACAGGTCGAAATTCTCTCCTGGCTTCGAGTACGGCACGTCAAGAAATGTGCAAGACAATAGGCGGGCTGGGAAGTAGTTCGCCAGTCTGGAAAGGAGGATGCATCCGGTATCATGGCCTACTGCGTGAACCTTATCGATGTCTTCATGGTCTAAGAGTTCGATGATTTCAGCGGCCATTGTCTTGCTTTTGTAGGCTTCGAGTGCTGTAGGCTTGGACGTGTCGCCGTACCCTAAAAGATCCGGTGCCAGAATGCCGTATCCTTCCTGGATAAAGAATTGGATCTGATGGCGCCAGTCGTAGCATGATGACGGGAAGCCGTGAAGAAAAAGGATTGTAGGGAGTGAGCTTTTGGTTGGGACATGGTAGGCATAGCCGTAAGTGTGAGATGTTGAGACTGTGTGACTCTTCGCGAGTTCGGGGAAGGCGATGCTGGCCATATTTACTGAGGCGACGAGGAAGTACAGCTCAACACGTTACTGGATGTTGATTGTGCTGCCTTTTATGCCTCTTCATCTACGCCGGAGACATTCGGAGACTTTGTGCTGGTAGTCACTTGGCAAATCTGCACGGCCCCATGGTGAGATGACTTCAATTCCAATGCCCATTTGAGATTCAGATATGCCGAGTGAGATGTTCTTCCAGGGCTCTAATGGCAAAGCCTCGGTTCGATGCGTTCTGCTCTGGTATCCTGTGGCCCAGGATGCAGTGCAGGCGGAGTAGTACTAGTACTGCTAGCCCTATCTCGATCGGTATGCACCTAAACATAAGCTTAAATTAGTTTGAATAAGTTGTATCAAGCCATTTTCAAGTCAATGACATCTCTGCGTGGTCTCCCAAGCGTGAAACAAGCTGCCCACGATGACAGGCGCCATTTTGGGGTGGTTGGACGCGCAAGATATACGAAGCCCGACAGATTGATGGGATAAGTACTTTATTCAGGTGCTGGCTGAGTGTGGGACAGGGAGCTCCCAAGTCAGAGATATCGAAACTTGCGAGATTTATTTTAAATGAGTGTGTAAAGAGAAAGAGAAGTGCGGTCGAATATATATAACAGTCAGGTGATGCCTTCCTCAAGTACGATACCGACTCTCACTTTCTGGCCATCCTGCACTCAATGAGAACCCAGAGTCAAACCCCGGGCTGTGACCCAAAAAAGATCTGGGTCTATCTTCACAGCATTCCCCACTACTATGCTATCTTGAAATTCGATATAGAAAGCCGACTGGCCAAGCCAAGGTTTCCTTGACGTGGAACGAAGCTTCAGAGACGGTGGTCTTGGTTATGCTTATTTCTGGTGTGCTGATCTTGGCTTCTTCTCGACATATGGGATTATTGGATCATGGTAAGACTACTGGGCCTTCTATCTCGTCGACGATGCCATGAAGCGATGCTAACCACACCTAGGCTTACCCCTGTGCACGCCAGAGGCACTCGAAGCTTATTTTCCGATTTCCTATCTCAGAATCGTCTAAAAAGCGATTTCATGTCGTTTCAAGCCTCTTCTCCGAGGACCAATGCCGGGTTGTTGATCGGTGTCTTCGCCATAGCGTTCTCCTGGCACGCAATCCCTTCCCTCCATTGCTCACCTCGACACACCTCTTCTACGGCCAATCTCAACCATTCTTAGCAACCATGTATCCACCAAAGCAGATATCGCGGCAAATAGACCTTCCGCTATTCCTGTTTTCCCAGAAGCTGCCTGTTTCTCGGCCGGGTCCTGCATAACGCGATATCGATCTCATACTGCGTGACAGCTACCAAACTACTAGCGAAGGCAGTTGGAGTTGCATCAGAGGCGAAAAGTTGGATCAGTGACTATGGTCTCTGCTCAATATAAATGGACCCTTCCTCCGCTACCCATGAAGTCTGTTGGACTTGACAGATGCTCAATCCTTTTGGGGAGTCTCTAACCGATACTTCGCAACACCATGTCTGCGGTTGAGGTTGACCTAGTCCCCCAAGGGACAGCATATGGCTTGCTTATCGGTCTCGGCGTTCTCTTCTGCGGGGTGATTCTCATCGCTATCAAAGTGCAGAAGGCCTACCTCTCCGAGGATTCCGCGACCTCGGAGATGTTTATGGTCGCCAACAGATCCGTCGGGACAGGACTGACAGCCTCGGCGGTCTTCTCATCATGGATGTGGATCAATGAGACGGTTCTGTGCGCCGCCATGTGTTACAGATATGGATTGGCAGTACCCTTGGTGCGCCCTTATGCTCGTTATGTGTCATGCCAGGCTGACAGAAACAGTGGTGGGGATCGGGTCTCTGCTTCCAGATTGCGCTCATGGCTGCGCTTGGAGTCATGGCCAAGATCAGAGTGCCCTATGCTCATACTTCCCTTGAGATTATCAAAATGCGATACGGCACAATCGGTCATCTTGTATTCATTGTCTTGAACTTGGTGAACAACGTCTTTGGCTGCGCTTCCATGATCCTCACAGGATCTCAACTGGTATCTGGAGTTTCTGGCATGCACTTCGTCGCCGCCACCATCTTGATTCCCTTGGGAGGTGAGTATTTCATGATGTAGAGGTTGGTCCAAACTAACTGGCTTTAGTTGTCTTGTACACTGCTGTTGGTGGTCTCAAAGCAACCTTCCTAACAGATTTCCTGCACACAGCTGTCGCCCTAGTCCTCATTATTTACTTCACCTTGTCCGTGTTGACCAACGAGCATATCGGCGGACTGGGCGGCCTTTACGACAAGGTGATGGCCACGGCCAGCGAGAACTATATCCAGGACAACTACGAGGGATCACTGCTCACGATGAAGTCCAAGGGAGCCATTATCTGGGGTCTCACTTTGAAGTTCGGAAATCTGGCTCTTGTCGTCATGGTGAGATTCAATGGCCCGGTATTAGTTGCTTATGGCTAACCGATTAGGATACTGCCTTCTGGCAAAAGTCTTTTGCTAGCGAAGTCAATTCAACCGTGCCGGCATATAACCTCGCCGCAGTCGCCGTGTTCGGGATCCCATGGGGCTTAGGAACGGTCCTTGGTCTATCTGCCAGGGCACTTCACCTCACGCCCATATTCCCAACTTATCCCGGGGACATCACTGAGACACAGGTATCAACAGGTCTGGTAATGCCATTCCTCGTCAAAGCTCTCATTGGCAAATCTGGCATCGTGGCGTTCTTTGTCCTCTTGTTTATGGCTCTGACAAGCACTGTGTCGTCTTCCATGATTGCAGTCAGCAGTATCCTCTCGTTTGACATCTACAAGACGTACTTCAACCCCAAGGCAACAGACAGGAAGCTACTCAAAGCCAGTCATATTACCGTGGTGATCCACGCTATCTTCATTACCGGCATTTCAATCGCCTTGAACTACGGCGGTGCCAACATGACCTGGCTTGGTTACTTCCGACCAGTTATTTCCTGTCCTGGAATCATACCTCTTGGTCTTACTCTCTTCTGGAGCCGTCAGACCAAACTGGCTGCGATTCTCGCTCCTGTCTTAGGATTCTTTACAGGGCTCGCAATCTGGTTGGGCACCGCGCATGCCCTATATGGCGCAGTGAACATGACAACAACAGGAAATCCCTTGCCCGCTCTCTACGGAGCCATCGGGTCTTTTTTCTCTCCGGCTATCTACTCGGTCCTGATATCTCTCTACAAGCCCTACAAGTTCGACTGGCGTGTCTTCCTCCGCATAGAACTGGCTGACGAAGCCCAGCTTCACAGCCCTGACAAGTCAACAGCAACGATCACCGAGTCAGAAGTAAAAGAGAAATCCGGCACCCAAACGCCAAAATCTGACGCAACCACAGCCGCAACTGCGGATCCCGAACACACTGGCGCCCACGACAAACCCATCTCTTCCTCCAGAGCGGCATCAACTCCCCCGTCCGAACTGAGCCTAGACGACATCCGCCACCCCTTCGATGAGGCAACCCTGAAAGAGCTGAACCGGTGGATGAAGATTGCCTGGGTAATCTTCGTTGTCATCGTTCTGGTTACCTTCGTCCTCTGGCCGATGCCACTGTACCGCAACTACATCTTCACTAAGTCGTTTTTCTCGGGTTGGGTATCTGTCGCTATCGTCTGGCAGTTCTTTGCTTTCTTCGCTGTTGTAATCTACCCGCTCTATGACGGACGATATGAGATTAATAAGGGTGTCAGGGGAATGTGGAGGTCTACGAATGAGTTTCTGGGGAAGAGGGGCTCGAATTAAGCTGCTTGAGATGCGAAGTTATTATATAGAAGCTGATAGATGGGTTATATGGGTTTACAGGGGGGGTGACTGACTTAGAGCTGGGAAATTTAACTTTGCTTCTCTCGAAGATTGTAAATTTGCCTTTTCTAGCTAGCAATGAGCTTCTCCGTAGCCCACATAAGAGCAAGAACGACCTGAGAGGGGTAAGCCGACAGCTATCAATAAAGGGTCCATGACCAATACTCTCATACTGGACACCATACAGAACCACATATGGCATGGAGAAATGTGAAACTAGGGTATTGACTTTGGCCTAGACAGCTGATGCTACTGAACTAATCTCAACCATTCTTGAGTGCTGTCTTTGTCTACATCTTTTCCCTGTGAGTTTGTATTATATAGCTATAGCAAATAAAACCTCTCTACCTCCCCCCAGTAGCCATCTAGCTCACAATCATACACCTTCCCTACCTAGCCCACCATGCCATATTCACACAAGCTTTTAACAAACCTAACTCTGCCAAAATAAAGACTCTCAGTGAGCACATATATAGCCTTGTCTCAGACGTATGCAATATTCAACCACCAGTACAGGCTAGACCGAGAGGTCTTACATTGGTGAAGCCCTTCACTTATTTGACTGCAACACATCACTGTCTTGACTTTCTAGTTGGCTTTCTACCTTTCTTTCGTTACCTTTCACTTATTGGATATATTCTCTGAGTTGGATTTACTTTCTGAGTCAAATTGTCCTTCTGTCTAACACAGTCTCCCCTGTCCTGTTATACTATATCATCATACACCTCTCCATTCTCATTTCTCAAGAGAATACAACCAGACAAATTGAACTTGAGGCAAACCTTGCCCAACAAAAGACAACAAGAGAAAAGGCCGAAGACGAGTTCAGGTTCAAGACTGCCACAATGATGCCCCATGTTCAAAATCACTCCGTCCAAGCCCAAGCTCAAGCTGCACCAGGTCCAATGGACATTTCCTACGACCTCTATCCCGAACCGCAACCCAACTCCCAACCCCAGTCCCAAGACAGGCCACACCTAAAGCGTCCTTTCACGTCAGTGTCATCACCCTCGCCGACTCCATCGCTGCCGGTCTTGTCGTCAGTCCATAGCTATGGCTATGGCTTGGGCTATGGCTATGGCTATGGTTATGGCCATAATTATGGCAGAGACGAACCCTATGCCAAGCGGAACACAACGCCGGCATTTGAGCACGGGTTCCATGACAAGACCTACGCGCAGCGGTTCCAGGAGAGACTCGACAGTTATAATGCCTGCAAGGAGAAAGAGCTGGCTGCGCCGTTTAGTCCTGATAGGGGTTCCAGCTACGATAGCGACCTCACGCGCAGCCCGAGTTCTAGCCCTAACGGGACTATGTCTGAGGGTGAGGAGGATGCTGAAGACGACGCGAGTCTTGTAACTTGCTTCAAAGGATGCGGATGTGAAGATGATGGTGTTGATGTTAAGGAGGATGATGGTAATGATGTGAGTTCTTTACATATGTCCCAGTATCCTGACCACGAAGTGCCTCTAAGTGATACTGAGTGCGAGGAAGACATGTCTTGTACTGACAATCATTGAACAGGATGTTGAAAGAGAAAGTGAGAGTGTGGACGGGGACATCCAATCCGAGCCGTATCCGCAGCCACAAGTGCATATACCGAGACATCAAACAGAGAACTACGCCCCTCTCTCGAACGCAGCAATCAGTGACATTCTGCTGCGATGTGCACCTCATTCGCTATCCGCGCAGGCGTGGATCAGAGCTCACAGGCCGACAAATATCGACCATGAGAGAAAGATAGCGCTTCTGAAGCAGCAGGATGACCTTCGAAGGCGGGTGCTGCAGCTGCGGCCAAAGACCGAGTGGACTATGAATAGGCTGAAGAGAGGAGAGGGTGTCAAGCGAAGTAAATTTGCCGAGGATTCGGTGGATTTATCGAAAAGCAATCCGATGTTTATGCGGAAGGAAGTGCCGCGCAGCGAGAAGAAACTCGATTATTCTGGATTCAGTCACCACGGACGCACCTATATTTTCGACGAAGAGGACAAGCAATGGTTGAAGGTTTTCATGTCGACTGGGAGGCTTCAGGAAGTGGCGGGCAATGAAGAGGCGTCTATCATTCCTGCACAAGAGTTTCGGCGATATTTCGATATCTCTGACGAATGAGGGCGGTTGATTGCCACCTTGATAGCCTTCATGGAACAGGTTCGAGCTTGTAGAGCGGGATTATGATTATGTACTCAAGTAACGCGCCCACATATTGTATCATGCATTGATAGCTTTCGGTACTGATAACAGCCTCATGCATTCTTGCTTTTGCTGATATTTTTCGCTTTGGTCGGACTCTCCAGCTTGTCTATTAGTGGCTGATAAGGCATCGCCAAATGATACTCTGGCGCTGGTGCTGGCGTCGATGTGGGTACCTGCGCCTCATCTCGTCTCGGCTCACCAAGAGAGGGACGACGGAGTTGTTCCTCGTGCATCTTATCCAAGCTCTCTCCAACAATCTGGTACTTCGCCCAGTTGATAGGCGGCATGCGGACGACGTTCTGAGCGGCGGGGAGCGTTCCCAATGCTGGCCCTTTTTCCGCTCCAGAATCAGATATTTGCATACCCTCATCACGGTCCTCCTCTTCATGGTTAAAATCAATAAATCCACCTTGCTCCTTCCTCGTCAATTTCCCGTCGGCAAGCTCTCGGACAAACTTCTCCGGATCCGCAGCAGCGGCATCTTTCATCCTCTCCAGGGTTTGGATATCTCGTAAGCTCTGCTGCTTCTGCAGTTGGAGGATAGAAATCGCTGAGCGCAGTGCAATCGCATCGGGGTTGGAGCTTTCGGAAATCGGGGCGGGCGGCGGTTGAGCGGCAAATGTGGGAGGTGCTGGAGGAGGGAGAGACATAGGGTCTGCTTTGTATGGAGCTGGCGGGACTTGTGATGTAGGTGAGGGCGACGTAACTAGCGGAATAGCTGGTGGGATTATGGGGTCTGTCGTCCCGTTTGCATTAGAGGGGTTTTGAAACGGCGTAAGATGAGCGAGTTCGGGCGTTACAGGCGAATACGGGGGTTGAGGGGGTGTCCCGGGACGTGGAGGCTCATTGCCTTGATCCTCCTGCGTCTCTGAGGCTGTATTTGACTCTGGAGCGTCTGGGTTTGATCTGTTGATGGTTGGCTCGGCGGCGATTGTTGTGCTGACCGGGCTGAGGCTATGACGTTGGTCCATCGCGGCGTTTGCAGATGCAGGTGCGACTAGATGATAGTCCAGGATCAGGTATGCTCAGATGTGCAAGATACCGTGGATGATGATTATTTGTAGGCCATGATATAAGCGAAAGGGACCCCGACGCAAGAGAATGAGCTTCTAGGCTGCTGCGATGAGGGTGGCTGGAGGGAGAGAGTCTCGGAGTGTGCTTATCATGACTCCGATAGCGCGCGGCATATCTCCGCGTTTCTATAGATAGGGCTCGATCCTCGGGATAACATTATATTTTGACCTAGGCCATTCCAGTGATGACTGTCATTATATCCCTTCTAGGATAGTAATTTTAATTTTATGGCAAGTCCTCGTAGACAATTAGGAATAGGAACCTAAGCAATGGCCTGAGCTCAGAGCATGGCCTGATCGCTCACGTGACCATCGGCCGGGAATTAACAGCCAAAAATTTTTGAAACTCTCCTCCATCAAGCTGATCACACACCCAGGCAAAATGAAGCGCAAGACCAACAGCAGTGACTCGGCCGGCGGCAATGGCCAGCCCGACACCAAGAAGCGAGCGCTGTCCAGCGAGGAAGTTGCATTGCGCTTCCGCGACGGTCTCTTCGAGCCGTCTGTACAACAGGACTATACCAAGTCATATGCTGAATCTCAGCCGTGCGTTTACCAATCGCTCATATGCGCTCCATTGCTGATTGCTTAGGTATCTACACGGCGTCATTCACCCCCTGATCGAAGACTCCCTTCTGCGCTCCGTCCGCGACGAAATCCAGGAACATTTGCACTTTACCGAGAAAGAGACGGATATATACAAAATCTTCCAGTCCGGAGATCTCGCCAACTTGGATGGATTAGACGATGGGTCATTGTCGCGATTGCCGTCGATTCTCAAGCTCCGCGATGCCCTTTACTCCGCGCGATTCCGTGAATTCCTGTCCTCCGTCACCGGCTCGGGCAAGCTGAGCGGGCAGAAGACCGACATGGCTATCAACATCTATAACGAGGGATGCCATCTTCTCTGTCACGACGATGTTATTGGAAGCAGACGTCTTAGCTACATTCTGTACCTGACTGACCCCGACACCCCATGGCAAGCGGAATGGGGCGGTGCTCTGCGCCTATACCCCACGGCGACGAAGAAGGATGCCAAGGGCGAGGACGTCAAGGTCCCTAGCCCGGACTACTCTCTCAGTATCCCGCCGGCTTTCAATCAGCTCAGCTTCTTTACCGTCCAGCCCGGAGAGAGTTTCCACGACGTCGAGGAGGTCTACCACCCCGCGGAGAATGAGGACAAGTCTAAGAAGCGCGTTCGAATGGCCATCAGTGGATGGTTCCATATCCCCCAGAAGGGAGAAGATGGATATGAGGAAGGGCTTGAAGAGAAGCTCGCCGAGCGCAGTAGTCTTTCCCAGCTCCAAGGCCGCGCAGACATCTACGACCTCCCGCAGCCAAAGACCGTTATCTGCGAGGAGGAAACAGAAGAAGAGGTCAAAGAGGACATCAAAGGCAAGGGCAAGGCCAAGGAGGAAGAACCCGCCGCCATCTTTACCGAGTCCGATCTCAATTTCCTTGTTCAATACATTGCCCCTTCATACCTCACTCCCGACATTGCAGAGGAAATGTCCGATGCCTTCCTCAACGACTCCTCCCTTAACCTCGAACACTTCCTCTCTAAGAAGTACGCCGCCAAGGTCCGTGCCTACATCGAAGAGCAGGAGAAGAAAGACCTCCCAGCATCATCCGACGAGATCCAATCGTCAACAGACTGGACCGTCGCCCGACCACCCCACAAGCACCGCTACCTCTACCAGCAGCACTCCGCGGAAGCTGGTCCCTCAAAAACACCCATCCAAGAACTCATCAACGACCTCTTCCCATCTAAGCCGTTCCGGAAATGGCTTTCACTCATCACAGGCTCGGACCGTATCACGAGCTACAACCTGCTTGCGCGCCGCTTCCGTCGGGGCCAGGACTACACTCTTGCCAACAGCTACGTTGGCGAAGAACCCCGTCTCGAGTTCACCTTCTGCCTGACCCCAACATCGGGCTGGGAAAAGGAAGAGCCCGAAGACGAAGACGAGGCCGCTGAAGACGGTGACGCGAATGGCACCTCCAAAGCAAGCTCCTCCAAGAAGGCTAATGACAAGAACGGAAAGACCGATCCTAAGTCCTCAGATGACGACGAAGCCCACGTCGGCGGCTACGAGATTTACATGGCGGGCGACGACGAAGAGGAAAAGTCCGGTGCTGCGGACCCGGCGATCTACCAATCTGCTGCGGACGATGAAGATGACGGGATCCTTTTTAGTACAGCCGCGGGCTGGAACAGACTTAGCATTGTGCTAAGGGATAGCGGGACGCTCAAGTTTGTCAAGTATGTTAGTGCCGCGGCGAAGGGGGATCGGTGGGATGTTACGGGCGAGATGGGGGTCGAATTTAATGATGATGAGGATGATGATGACGAGGATGACGGGCAAGATGACGAGGAGGATGAGGACGAGGACGAGGACGAAGACATGGAAGAGGATGATGAGTAAATAAAATAGCGATTAGACATGTTTGATATACACTGTTTGGATCTCGGCTATCATTGAATGAATTGAATATCTATCTGGCCACAGAATAACCGAACAAGCTTTGGGCGTTGGTCGACGCTTGATCCGAGCGAACGACGAATCTCTGACCATCTGAACACGATGACCGACGGGGGACCGTTTCAGACCCAGCAGAGCCTCGGACGCCCACATGGTCTACCCATGATCCTGGTATGGACCCCTTCAAACACAACTGGGACATAGCTGACGAGAGGTATACCTGAAGCTTGTGATCAATGCCGGTCTAAGTCTAAGAAGCAGCGTGAGCGCCAACGTCCACTATGCAGCAATGGTGAGCAGCTGAATATAGTCTGCGACTATCCGGATGAAAACACTGAATTGTGAGAGTCCGCTTTCAAACTCCTGTGATGGCTGCTACTATGCTGGTCAGTGCGCGTCGACTACGCAAGGCAACGAGCTGCATTCATAGCCTCGAGGCATCTCTTTCTCGAATCCAGCCCTCTCTTGACAGGTTTGAGGCCGAACGGGCAATGTTGACTCTTCCCAACATTGGGGACGACTCGCCCCCGCCGTACAGGCGGTTTGAGGTTGATTTCGCCCAAACTAACGGCTGTGAATTACCAGATAGTCCTGCGATTCACCATGGGCTTTCGGAGAAAAGGGACAGCATCAAATACCTGGCGGCGGCTTGCACGAAGATCGCAGTTGCTAAGTATGGTGCAAACGATCAGATAACTGGACAGTTAGCTACATTGGACTCGTCTCTGCGACTGATCTCTGAGCTCCAGGAGCAGTCGCAGGGCGGGATAGACTTCCTGTCACAGTAGTACTGAGGCTTCCGCTGTCTATCCTGCAAGAACAGTGACCCCGGCTGGAATAGAGCTGGAGCTCCTAAAGACATTCTTCGAAACGCCTTGGGAGCATTCGAGACCTCGATTTGTTTCTTTATCCCAACACAACGACCGTGCAAGCATTACTTCTCTGCTGAGGCCATTAGTTATCTGTGTCCTGGATAAGAACTGTACTGATGCAAGCACTCAGTCCCCAGTCAGTCAATGGGGCTCACGGATATGGCTTAAAGAACTCTGCAACCCACCCACTTCTAATGGAAAATCTTGTATTTGCGGAACTGTTTGCTGCAGGGTCCCCAGCGCCCGTTACTGGACGCAGGCACATCGACATCTTACTGGTGTATCTTCGTGTTGGACATGTCCACCTCGATGGGTGCATCTAAGCGAACACCCTCTTCTGCCGCCAGAACAACAGGGAAACCGTGACAGAGACCACTTCCTTGCTGCAATCTGAGTTCCCAAGCTGCGGCATGCCGTAATGATCTCTGGAGCAGCCTCTCTCCGTGTGCCCATGGCCGAGGATCTAGCACTGCACCAGCTTAAAATACTGCAGAAACTCCAATCAACCCTCGGCATTAGCATAGGCCTGTTCGCACCATCCCCTATAACATACGACTCCCACCGCTGGATCCCTTCACTTGCTTGACTACCCCTAACCATGCACGCGAACTCTAGCACTCCAGCTCCTTGGAGGCCGTTGGCCGCGCCTTCCATATCCAGCCGACTTGCGCTCCTTCCATCCAGGCGTTCCCGATCTCCCTTGCTACATTTCCCTCTTGTCCTCCCGTTTTCTCTTCTCTTTTTGTCCTCTGTTCTTCACTTCTCTCTTCACCACTATTGTTTTCTCCCAGCATACATTAGAAGGGACCATGGTCCTTCCGCTTCCCTCTTCTCAATGTTGCTTTGCACTCTCGCGATGACACCAAGGCCTAGGTCAAATGAAAAGGGAAAGGGAAGTGCTTCCAGCACCCGCTCGCCAATTTCAAGGCCAGGGTTGCCAAACCGGTGACTAAGGTGAGTCAACCTTTAAGTTTGCTTCTGTCCCAATGGAATCTAACTAACTAACCTGACCTGTGAGTCAGCGCGTGAACATCTCAACCGCCGACACTTTCGATCTAGATCCTGCGCTTGACACTTTGTCCATCGCCCGTGAAAGGATCACCACAGCTTCTGAGAGCCACACTCGGCACCCTCCCATACGGAGACAGACTCTTTGCTAACAACATGGGCCCATCGCTGTTCGACGAACTTAGACGTCTTCGCGAAGACGTCGATTGCTTGACGCAGCAACAAGTCTTAACAAATGTAAGACACGCCGAATTAGAGCGACGGCACACCGAATCAGAGCGACGGCACACCGAATCAGAGCGACGGCACACCGAATCGGAGCGACGGCTTGATGAAATCAGGGCGGGACTTGACGCAGCTCATGCAAGGATCGACGGACACACAAGCTTGTTCCAGGCGGAGAGCGAAAGATGGTTCAATGTCAGGCATAGGACATTCCTATTTTGGGCCAGGGACAAGAACGAGGCCACCCGAGGACAAAGGTGCCAAATCGCGGAATTCAACGTACTCGTGCACGGGCCAATGATTGCCATGGACGCTCGAATGTTCGAGGTCAAGGGGCTGAAGGAGTTTGCGTTGTTCGAGAGCCTCTACTCTTGCTCTGTTCCTATGGCGCGCCGCCTTGGTAAGCTGACACTCGCTGGATTCGTGCAGGTAGAACTCCACTAACTTCCTCTACTCTAGCAACCGACGCCTTGGACCGCGTGCTCGACGTCTTGAACAACGCCGCGAACTACAAAATGCTACGAGACGTGAAGGGCGAGGACATGACGACCAGGCAGCATGAATTGTTTGCTGACATTACGTCCTGCCTCCGAGAACTCAACCCGAAGGAGCCTATACCAGCCGCAGAGGTTGAGAGATTGAATGACATGTGTGACGCGTACGAGGGCGCTGTGGAGATGGAAACTTGAACTCATTTGTTGTCTTAGGTAGTTTGCCGTGACATGAGCTTGCTTAGGTACTATTTGTATGTCCCTTGTTCATTCAATTTTAGCCGCGCTTTTAAGGTAGACAGGTAGAAGAGTCGACGATCCAGCTTTCAGCCTTACTAAACCGTGGCCCCCTTTGGCCTGTATGCTATGCTTAGACGAGAGAGACCCATCCGAATTCGGCAGGAGCATGTCGAGACCAGCATAATCATTTTCTAGTTGTCTCCTTTGCCCCATAGTCGGACATACCAACTCCAACTCTTGTACCCTCAGATCCAATTCACATCAGAGTGCGAGCTGTCTTGTCTCCTGCTTCGAGATGCGTGATCCCAGGTCTGAAGATGTATATTCTATAGATGTCCAGCATGCCTGACGAGGTAGGGTTTGGCATAACTGCCGAATGACGATGACGTGTACGAGGCAGTCGATGAATCGAGTAGATTGCTTTGACTCCATCCTATCCTTAGCTAGTTCTTTTTTGGTATTCACAACATGTGTTTCTTCTTCGCTATTACAGCAATCCACTGCCGTAACCATGCGTAGACTTTGCTTTCAAATCATTTCCATTGTTTTGCTTCGTAATCATTGAGAATAGAAACGCCCTCTCCCCTAACCTCCGTACCTAGTATGTACCTACGGAGTATAGGTTACCCAATTAGGCAGTCCAGACTCCGACCAGACCCCAACGGACCAGACACCGGGACATGGCATACGATTACGAGGCTGACCAAGATCTTAATCACAATCGCAACCACAATCCATCACATGGCATCCAAGCTAAGACAGCCAAGCAGAGACCATTGCTGCGCACAGCCCCCAGTGTGGTCTGCGTCCAGGCTATGGAGATTGGAGACTGCGGTAGATCCCGCCGAGCCCTAATTGCGGCGTGGAGTCCGTAGTCCATCGTACACTACCACTGCCTGCCTTGTAAAATACGCTATCTAACAAGCCCACTCTGGTGTTCTACTTTCCATCGGGGTCCGCGCGTGTCTGGATTACCTGCTATGGTACTCTGTATAGGCCCCCTATTAGAACGGAATTCATGCCGAGCACCGACCCCGACCCCGACCCCGGACCCGAGCTTTGAACGCCGCGCACCGAGAGAGCTGCTAGAGATAGCGGATACAAAGTGTGTATCTGGTTCAAGTTGAATCCGCCGGAGTTGAATTGAAAGCCGGCTCAAGCAATTTCCATGTTTACTCTCCTCCATATTAGGGTAGTCTACTCCGCATGCGGCATGCCTCCGCAACACGGTCGCCAACCTTCGCGTAGGTCCTAGACTATGTACGTCCAGAGCCCAGCCAGTGCCACACTAGCTAGTAGCCCCAAGCCATCGCCAGCTAGTTCGAACGACTCGCTGAGAGATCCCCTCGGTCTGAATCTGAAACACCTCCGCGCCGCCAGGATCAGAACCCCTGTCAAGCCACCCACGTGGCGGGTATATTGCCCCGTCTCGCCCAATGGCGGCCTCGAGAGGAATTGAGAGGGATTGAGGAAGGTTGTCCGGGCCTGAGACGCTAGCGGCTAGCTTTGTTGGGGACTTGCTGGGGAAGGTCCAGTGGCAGTTGGAGCCGGTAGGGCAGGAGGGAA